CCTCGCTTATTCGCACACCCCGCCTCGCGTACCCGCCTTCTCGCGTACCCGCCTTCTCGCGTCCCGCCCTTTCGCGTACCCGCCCACTGCCCGGCCGCCCGCTCTCGTGCTCCCCCTCGCCCTCGCTCGCTCTTCGCGCCCTCGCCTGCCCGCTCTTCGCGCCCTCGCCTGCCCGCGCCCGCGCGCCCTTCGCGCCCTTCGCGCCCTTCGCGCCCTTCGCTCCCTCGCCCGCCCGCCACTCTCGTCACCCTCGCCCGTTCGCTGCTCTCCATGCCCGCCCGCTCTCCGCGCCCCCGCCCCCGCCCACTCCCTTCGCCCTCGCCTGCCCGCCCACTCCCCTCGCTCGCTCTGCTCTCGCTGCCTGATGTGGAACTTATGCGCACGCATCTTCCCGTCTGCGTCGCCGCCCCTCAGCCCGTTGCCTCTATGCACGTAGTTCTTGTCAGTGAAGCGGCTCTCTGCAGCGGCCGCCCCTTCGTGAGCTGCCGCCTATCTGCCGCCCTTGGTATGTGCACCAACATGCCGCTTTTCACCCGTACTCATCCCCGCCATATGTAGCCTTTCTAGGATGTGTTTTTCTCCTTCCCACCTCAACATGCAGCCTGTTGCGATTCATCCCAAGGTGCGTCAACCACGAACTAGCTATTACGATGTCCTTATGGCTAATCAGGGACTTTTACAGGATATTTCATCGTCTATGATACCTATCATATCCGTCGCTGTGATCAGCTCTCCCAGGGTACTTTGCCCTTGACGGTAAGTAAGTGTTGATATACTATGGCTCGGATGGCTAACACTTGTGCACGTCACTGTCAGGTCTAGGAGGAGGCCGCAAAGGTGATGCCGGCATGTTATGTTAAAGGTAATGAATGCGGTACAAGTAGATACTATGTGTAGCATTCGGCGGGCGGTTGGTATGCAGCACACCAGCGCTCTCAGTACGTTTATATAGTTAGTCCCGGTGCATGTATGTACGTTAGACATGTCCCGACATTCTACTCAATATATCTCTACAAATGCTCATCTGACTTCCGGCACCACACACGAAGTTATGCTCGGAGCTCAGCTTGAGACGATGCGAGCCGTCTAGTATATACTGCCCGTCTAGATTATATTATTATAAGTTGTGTTCCCGCTCGTTGTATACTAGCCTGTGCAACACGCCACTCACTGGCATGGCAGCAGTGTCTCGTAGCAATAGTATACTCAATGCTGTTCGTTCAAAGTTGCGCTCGGCCGAACGCACTCGTTAGGCCACGCTCGCAGGTGCTCCAGTGAGTCTGTATCAAACACTTCGCCGCTGATATTAAGTATTACTAGTATATGCATTCTCGTCCGGTGCAGGACGCTCGTTCCGAATCGCTACTACAGCTACCCGCTTGCACTAGGCCGGCATATATTTGATGTACGCTGAATAAGTGGGTATGGTCGGTCGCTGAAGCAGCAACTTATACACGCCGGAATAAACGCAGCCACAGCATGTATATATGAGCGCGACTTAATCTCAGTGAGACTCGGATGTGGGTTACGTGGGACTGCCAGTGAGGTGGGCGGGCGCGCGATAAGTACTAGGGCGACGAACAAATGAATAACGAATCGAGTAAGTACGATGCGAGCGGACACGGGTGGGGAACGTGGTATGGAATGATAACGTAGGGAGACCATTTGCCAGTAACCTACTACTTATACCAGGTCCGCAACGCGAGGGGGGCGAGAGGCGGACACGTGCTCGCACCAGGTATTACCGCGCTGAGGGCGCAGCGGGCAGGTTGAACGCTCACAGTAGTACAGACAGTCGCATACTACTCACTTCATCTGCGTACGTATGGGAACAGGTACCACTGGTGCGGATGATGTCTGACTGCTAGTACGGAGTCAGTAGTGACTAAGGCTGGCTTATGATCTCACTACCGCGTAAGCATTGCTCATAAAATATATCAATACCTTGCGCAGTGTGTGCAGGGTACTCGTAGACCCGAGCGATGAGCGCGTTATCTACTGTTATCTAGGCCTCACACGAGGGCCGGGGTGCATGCGTGCCCGCCTTGAGCCCAACTCGCATCATCCTCAGATGCGTGATAGTACCAGTGGGACCGTCCGACAATTGCAACCTCCTGACCTGTAGGTTAGGCTTCCGTGGCTCAACGGCCTCAATCTGCGTTCGTTACATCGTACTTGAAGCTTGAGGCTTGTCCCGTTTAACACTGCGGCGGTTTGTTTTAAGTCGTGTCTCCCCGTACTATAGTACACAAACCTCCGCATCCACTCGCCAACCTCAGTCCTGTGAACTAGTAGTACGTATTGAACTAAAATGTATGCCCATATCATCGGTGGCGAGCGCGGAGTCAGATATCGCACATTTGTGTTATTTTAGGATGTGCAGGTGTTCTGACTCCGTATTGTTATACTTATTGGACGTCACAACCACACCTATCAGTTATTTACTAAATTTCAAAGCATACATAAGTGATCATCGAGCCGATGCTCGTGTCGTAATATATTGACGCACTTGTAATGTCTATACAGAACTACACTACCTCTGAATACAGACCGTGATTGAATGTTGAATGTACAACATTCAATATGGTCAGTCAAATCACATGAGACGAGCGGCACTGGATGAGGTCCGCTTTCTGCACCTTTTGCATCGTACTACGTGCCTTATGAACACATATAACAGCCGATCATTGACTCACCTTATTTGGACGCCAACAGCCCTGGTGGCGAGCTTTGAGCCACTTCTTGGTCATTAGTACTCTGATCTAGGGTAGAAATGCAATAACTCACCAATCGCACTTCCCGTATTCCATCGCATAGGCAGCAGCTATGCATGGCGGTGGCGCACAACCTGGCGGATAATTGTACAATGAGCATACAAACACTAGGAAAGCGGCTGAGACCTACATTTGTACAGGAGTATGGGAGATGCACTTGAGAGAGATCTCTGAAAAGTTATAACAAATGATCAGCATGGTGATTATTTATGGCGACGGATTGCTCACCGCGGTAAGCACACAGGGCAGAGCCGGAGCGTAGTGGGGACGGGCGAAGAGGTAGGTAGCTCACACAGGACCATGCGCGCGCGAGGACGTGTTAAGCAGACACAGGGTAGGGTGTAGACGTACAGGGTTAGGGAGGCGGCGCGGGTTGGACGCGGCGCGGGTTGGACGCGGGGCCGCGGACAGAAAGACGAGATGGTGGTGGTCGCAGCGCAAAGTCTCTGTGGTGTCCAGAGTCTGCCGCTGCGGCGCGCCCGCCCAGGGCGCAGGCAACGACCGGGGGATAACCGTTCTTGGAATCCTTTGGGTTAAACTGCCCCAGAACGGATTGGATTTCGCCGCCTAATACTCTGTGAGGCGATTCAACCCAACGTTCCAAATCGGGCAAACTTGAAGCGCCTAAAGACATCCCAATCGGGCAAACCCCGGCGCCTGCCCTCTGATATATACTCCCACCTCCTCTCCCTTTCCCCCTCGTCGACGCCCCCCTCCCCGGGCGTTGCGCTGCTCAGCGGTATCCCCGCTGAGCACGCGTTCGGCATCTTTGGTGCAGGGGCGGCCTCCTCCCGCCCATTCCCGCCTTCTCGCTTATTCGCACACCCCGCCCCCTCGCTTATTCGCACACCCCGCCTCGCGTACCCGCCTTCTCGCGTACCCGCCTTCTCGCGTCCCGCCCTTTCGCGTACCCGCCCACTGCCCGGCCGCCCGCTCTCGTGCTCCCCCTCGCCCTCGCTCGCTCTTCGCGCCCTCGCCTGCCCGCTCTTCGCGCCCTCGCCTGCCCGCGCCCGCGCGCCCTTCGCGCCCTTCGCTCCCTCGCCCGCCCGCCACTCTCGTCACCCTCACCCCATCTACTCGCCTGCAGTAGCTTCGTGCTCGCCAGGCCCACCAGCTAGCTGCGATATTGCACGCGCCACCGTCTTCGCCGCATCCACCGTCGCAACTTTCCGTCACTAGTCTCCACCTCTCTGGCTAAACACATAGGGGCTTTTTGCGTTCTGCGGTTGCATCTATCTTCTGCGTCGGTCCATCTTCGTCACAAGCGCGATGGTTGCGACTGTCTCCACACGCGAACCACCTGTTCCTGCCAACCCTGTTCATAGATATATTTGAACTCAACCATATCTCTTGGAGCTCGAACCTAAGCTGCGCCGTGCCCGGCTATCGCGTATGTGCATTACACATAACCCTGGGGCTGCTGCCGGACACTGTATTGTGCCATGGGTCAGCAGCACCCCCGCAACTCCGAGAAGGTGCGTGCAGCGTCCGATCGATCCCACTGTCCTTCTGGCTCTATCTGCCCGGCATCCCGGAGGGCAAGGTTTTGAAATGTCGGTGCATGCCGCACGCATGGCCAGGCATGACCACCCCCAATCCCCCAGGTGCGTACCGATGCCAGCTCTGTTGCGCATGATGAAGAGAATCAAGCACATCTCCGGTCTTTCAACCAATCGCATCCTCCCTTATCCTCTCGTCGCTGAGGATCGCCCGCTCACGCTGCTATCGTTGACGCTCTCCGTCCCCACGGGCTCCGCTGCTCTCTTCCCGTGCTGCCCTCTGGCTCTGCTGCTGAGCCCAGCCCTCCGTTCCCGACTTGCCTCTTGCGAGATGGGGCCTCCGGCCAACGCGTATCGTGCAATCGTGCTGTATTCCTCCATCAGAACCCACGTTTCCGCCCCACTGCTCATGTGCTCGACGGTGGCTGCTGCTTCCCCTACACGCCCCCCGTGCGAACGCCTAGCTGACCCGGCCTGCGGCTCGACATCGTGCGCAACTCGCCGCCTTCTCCCGTCGATCAACCGTCCAGTCGCACTGCAGCGAGCGAATCCGCGAGTGCCTGGCGTGGGCAGACACACAAGGCACGAATCAGTCCAGGCAGACGCGCTGGGTGTGTGCTGCGTACGCACCGTGGTCTGGTCCGCGCAGGGCCCCGTGCGCTGTATTAGGTTCGCGACCGCGGTGGCGTTTTCCTGGAAGACCACCGCCTTGCCCGCGGGAAGCGTCGTCCAGTCCGGGGCGTCCCAGTCTGCAGGGTCGCCTGTGTACTGTCCGAGCACGACGCGTCTCTCGGACTCGAGTGCACCTTCTTGGAAGCTGCGCGGCGCGCTCCTGACCGTCAGGTGCAGGACGAACGTGTCGGGATCAACGAAGTATTCGTCCGGCTCCGGGTTCTGCTCCGCGACAGTGTTCGTAAGCGTACGGCAGACGTGCTCGCTTCCGCACAAAACATACCGGGATGCGGCAGACGTGCACCGAACACTGCACCTCATCGGGGGTCACAGGGGACTCGATGTCGTCAGCGATGCCCTGTGCGAGCTTTGTGGCGAGCCAGAGGTCGACGGGGCCCGATATGCCTTTTTTCTCCCGATACTGCCTCCGAGCCTCCGCCCGAGCGTATTCGTGCTCCTGTTTCTTGTGCCGTGGGCGTCGGGCCTGGAGCTTGGCTCGGGTGCGTCTCTGGAGAGCCTGTTCGCGTGCTGGCGTCCACGCCAGACTCTTGTACATGGCGGTGCAATGGGGATGTTGGCCCCCATCCAGCGTGGGCCAGCGCATCCTATGTAGTAAGTGGGCAATGCTAGTTCGACTTCTATCGCTGTTCATCGCTCACAGCCCATCGTTATCAGCTTGATCCTAGGACACCATTGCGCTCTAGAAATGAAATGTGGGTGCTCAGGAAGCGGGGCAGGGCGGAAAGAAGGATTCCTCACCCAATTAGGAACGTAATGCGCTGCTTCTTCCCCGTGCCCATGCCTTCTCCGAGCCGCCCGCTCCTGCCTATCTCGGAATGATGAGCTTTGCACCCTAGGACTGTGGGCCTCTAGACTACGGAACTGCCTCCGCACTAGCCTGGGACGTGTCCGAGCCGCAGCACGCAAGGCACGGGGTGCCCAGAAGGCAGCGGAACGGGCCTCGTACGTATTCTCTCCGTTCGGTAGAACGCACGCTGACACGCGACTGCGCGGCTCCCCTCCAGGTCCGCACCCCGGAACGGAAGACGGACGCTCGGACGTGGCTTCGCATGCGCTCTGCCCCGAGCTGCGCGTGCCACTGGGATGCACTCAGGCTTTGATCGCGCCCCAACTGTGCGGCGGCGAAGTCGCCACAAGGTCCCACGGTGCGCCCGGGCGGTAGCACGCAGTCCCGTCTATGCGCGGGCGCAAATGCGCGTGGAGGGTGGGCGATAAGTCTATCTGCATGCGCAGCGCCCCGCGCAGGTCGTATGTTGCGTGGCTGGGCGCAGGATCGTCGAGCAATGTGGCGTGGACCTACACCGATCAACAGAGATCAACAGGCGGGAGGATCAGGTGATTTGTGGCGAGGCGCCGGGCGAGCACGCGGGCCGGTTATGGAAGGGGCGTGGAGAGCAGGATGCCTCGTGGCGGAGGCGAGGCGAGACTATATTGCGCCCCCGCAGATGAGCTCGCCGTTCCCTTCTCCTCGTTCGCCTCCTCCCTGGCAAGCGCTTCTCTGCGAGGGGCCCCTCCGGTCCATAAGTGCTCGGAGCGAGGTGCGTCGGGGTCCTCGTCCTCTTCCGTTCCCGCCACGGACGCCCAGTGTCTGGCCACAACCTTGTACAGTGCGTATCGCCCCGCACTCCCCTTTCCCATATCTACCCCACGCCTCGCCCATCGGACTTACACGATCCCCCCGCAGCGATCTCTTTACGACCCTCCACGACTGGTCTCCCCTCTACCTCGGCTCGACCAGTGACCCTCTAGCTGCCTCTGCCACGTCTAGTACTGTCACTATGGGTCTGCTTAAGAAGATGATGGCCTCATTGAGCCCTCCCAGCGCACCGAAGCACCTGCCCGTGCCGCTCCCCGAGCTCTCGGTGGACTCCCCGCCGGGTCAGAGTTGGTCCTCATCGGGAAGCTCAAGCTGCAGCTCCCCATCTCCGACCACGCCCTCGCCACGCTCGAGCCCTATCGCATACCGCGCGCCATCGAAGCTCTCTGGGAAGAGGTCGGGGACGCCACAGGACGCCTACGCCGACATCTCGCGCTACTCGTCACCGGACCCCGCGTTAGAGAAGAAGTCCCGCTCGCGTCGGACGTCCTCGCCTTCGGTGGACATCGTGAAGCCCACCCCGCGCCGTGCGTACGTCCCCATAACACCGTCGACGACGGTCATGAACGCTGTCCTGCCCCCGACGCCGGACATGCTCAAGCCCCCGATCAAGGGCATCCTGAAGCCTCCACGTCGTACGTCTCCGTCCCCTTCGTGCGCGCGTACGCTGGCGCTCATTATGTCACGTGGATATAGCCGCCACCGCCGCCCCATCCGAGGCCTCCAGCTGGACGCCACCACCGATTCACTCGCCTCGATCAGCATCGTCCGCGTCTAATCGTCCTACCCAGGACGTGCCGCTCTCCCTACATTGGCAGCTGCTGCCACCAGTTGAGCGGCCATGGAACCCAGCTAATCGATACCCCCGCCAACGGCTTTACTTCGACATCACGAAGCCGCCATCCACTATCAAGATTCGCGACTACTCGGAGATGCCGCCCAAAGTTACGAGGGGGAGCAAGATCAAGGACGCGCTGGCTAAGCCAGCCAGCAACGGCAACCTGTCGAGTATGACCATCAAGTACGACAAGATACCAGGCGCGGTGATCCATATCGCCGCGAAAGACGGGTCGACCGTGCGATGTGGCGAGGTCTTCGACGCGATCTATGAGTTCTTCGACAGGGTCTTGACGCCGGACGAGCGGTCGGACTTGATCCCCACGGTAGCGCAGCTGAAACGCGTCGAGACGGCATTCGTGCGCAGATGCCAGGACAGCCATCGCGCGGTGCCATTGGCGGAGCAGTATGAGGGGATCCGCTTCGTCGATCTGCTCGAGGGGAACACTGTGTTCCACGGGTTGATGCGGCCACTCAACGAGAGGCGCAGCCCCGAGAAGTACTGGGTCATCGAGTTCGGCCCTTGCGAGACGCACTGAAATTATGATTGTACTCTCTGTATTATACCATCATATGGTGAGTAGTCTTGCTGCCTGGCATTCGCCACCGAACTGACCTTGCTCGTCATCAGGCCAAGCTAATCGTATTGCTCGACATTGCTCGACCGCCACAACACCTCCACCACTCGTTCATGGTTGCAGCCCTCTCCCGGTCTCCCTTAACGTATGATAACCCCCGCTCAGGCTCGGGTGTCATGCCCATGTGACACACGCCTTCCCCACACATCATTCACTCATGGATCTCCCTCATCGCCCTCCCTTCATTCAATCGCTTCGCTCGGATATCCCACATGCATCCCACCCCACGTCTTCCGCATTCGCAAACCATCATCATTCCTGCATAGCCCGCTTTCCCGCATCTCGCGCACATCCCCCAGTCGAGCCGTCGCGTCGTTGTCGTTGTCACTTATGCTTCTCGAGGACGCTGTCTTTGTACCCCTTACGTACCCAGCATTCGCATGCCTGCTCGCCCGGCCTGGCGCCCGCGCGGGCGTCGTGTAGCCGGATCACTTCACACATGCAATGGATGGCAGCGCCTCCTGTTCTACACGTCACTGGTGACCGTTTGCGAGCCTGCATGTGTCGCGTGTGCGGTCATCCCAACCACATCGCACCCACGCTGTGCGGGAGCCTCCGATGGTGTTCGGAGAATTTGTACTCACTGAGTCCCTGCTGCGCTATCCCGATCTGCAATTGGACCTACGCCATTTGAATGCACAGGACAAGGGATGCTGTAAGTGTTACCTTCGGCGAAACTCGCCTTCAGCCCGTTCCCCGCGACCCTTGACTTGTGTGGTTTGACCTCTGTTGAACGCGCGTCGCACACTGCCCTCCTGTGAATAGGAGGAGACGCGCGCACCGTATCCGGCTGTCATGTGAGGCGAGCGAGGGCACGCGCCCGGCGCAATCAAGGCGTGGCGACCTTCGTGCGCATTCTTGGGCATTCCAGGAGATACCGACGGGCAGCCATGGCCAGCCAGCGAGGTCGACGATCGCGCGGGGCCCATCAGACCGCGAATATCCCGTGCTACTACGTACAAGGCCAGACCGTCCCCAGAGCTGCAGTGCAGTGCGTCCGCGAGAGGAAGGGCACGAGGCGGCGCCTTTGAATGGGCTCAGGTCCGGGAGGTGCGGCGGAAGCGTCTTCGAGGTGTCGAGGCCCGGGAGAGCTGGCCCGATAGAGCACAGCAGGATCTTCGACATTCGACGTTGTGTTCCTTGGAGACTTTCCGATCGGCGTCGTGGGCAGCGGGACTGGATATGAACGGTTAACTGGCGGGCCCCACCCACCTCGCGTTCGGGCAGCTCTGCGTGCATATCAGGAGTGCGTGAGACGCATGGCGATCAGCACACTCGTTCAAGGCGGAAGTGGTGGCTCGTGGGCGGTTCAACTTGTATGCACCAAGTCCCATGGGCGGTCTTCCCAAGTTCGCCAGGACGTGGATCGCAACTTCCCCTGGGGTCTAGGTGTTACAGTGTGATATTTAAGGGCACAGAAGGTTCGTGACGTACCCGAGTCTCCAGCTCAACCAACTCTCTTTCCAATTCGGAGGCGGCGATCCGGTTGCCTGCAGATGCACGCGTGCAGACGCGGCGCTCGGTGCTGCACACGTATAACACGCCCCAAAGAAGTTGCGCACACTATTGCAAACTGTGCTTCTGCTGTCCAGACCATGGCCTGTGGATGACGCGTGTTTAGTGGGAGAAGAGGACGGCGGAGGTCGTCGTGGGCGGAAGACAAGCGCGTCCGCAGGTTCGTCGGTGTCACGCTCACGTCTCCTCACATGGGTCACCAGTGTCACATCGGCCGAGCGGCTTCAGGCTCACTCTGACCGCGACCGCGACCACATCAGGCCCTTGCGCTGCTTCGGACAAAAGTAAATACCGGTAGCACTGCGTTTGCTCTTCTTGTATCCAGCTGATACCGCTCTTTTTCCTCTGTAGTGTCGCTTTCACTCGCTGTCGAAACCGACCTTGACCCAACTTTCCTCGCAGCCTGCATCATGATCGACGCCTCCGACGCAGCCTTACCTGATGTTTCATCTTCGTCTCCCGACGACACGGTCGCCTCCTTCGTCAGCGAGGAGGAACATATGGCTCACCTACTCGCTACGTACCCGGCTGCTATCACTGACTTCTACGGATCTGGCACGCCCTGCGTATACAAAACCGGGCCTGCGTGGCCCGTTGCCCAAGGTCCTCAGTCTCAAAAGATCAGGCGCGCCGCCCGTCCCATCTACGAACACGGCATTGCGCCGGTCTGGCTCGACACTGCGTGGCGCATCGTCGCCGAGCTCGAGACGCTCCACGTGGACTGGAATGCGGTTGATCCTCTCGCCTACGCGAATGCAGGTCAGGCGGACTTGATCTGCGATTTTGTTATCACTATCAGCGTGAAGCCACTCTCCCTTGCCTATGAAGCTGCTGTGGCTGCTGCTCAAGTCGTCGAGGGGATCCTTGAGGTAAGTAAACAATAACGAATAATCGGTGACTTCCTTCCTTGTCTTTTATTTTTTCTTTCGTATTCTAGACAGTCGGCTTCCCCGAGATCCAAGTCGCATTCGTAGAATCCGTCTACCGCCGCCAGGGGCAGCTCATGGGGTTCGATCCGACGTACGAATTGCAGGGTATTCCCGGCCTTCGAGCCGTTCACCCCTACCCTCGGTCTTGCTATCGCTCCTTCCAAGTCACCTTACTTCGAGGGTACCGGTGGCTTGTTCCTCCGCCTCAGCGCCGACCAGTCTGACAAGCGCACCGTACTCCTGACCTGCGCGCACGTCGCCCACCCGCCCCCACTCTTTCACAACAAGGAGTATACGCGCAAGTCTGACAGCCAGTCGCGCGAGGACATCATCCTTCTCGGCAGCGGATCATTCGATGACTCTGTCGAGGCCTTCATGAAGTTTATCGGCAACCAGGCGAAGGCTATCGCCAGCTGGGAGACGTCCCTCGGTAGGATCCCAAAGCCGGCAGAGAACGAGGCTATTGGTGTCACGGCGAAGCGAAAGGAGCTGACTGACTTGATCGCCGCGGCGAAGGACAAGATCAGAGCAGCGAACGAACTCCACTCCCATGTCACCAAGTTCTACACCACGATGGTGTCTCGCATTTGCGGATTCGTTCTCCACTGTGCTAAGATCGAGGTCGGCAGCGACGGGTTTATGTACGACTGGGCCTTGGTCCAGATTGACGACGAACAGGTGGAGATAAAGGACTTTAAAGGCAACCAGATCTTTGTTGGTTCGTCGGTTCTCTCTTCTTTTGACACTTTTTACCGACGGTTATACCACCCCTCTGCAGGCGGCAACAAGACTGCTGTTGATTGGGAAAACTACATGTTCGCTCAAGACCACGACCGGCGTGACTTCCATGTTCCCGATGAATTGCTTCTTCGAGTGGAGGACTACGTGCGTGAGTCCGAATTCCGCGACCCGCAGAACTACGACCTCTACAACGTCAAGACGCTGCTGGCGGTCAAGAATGGGTGTAGCACCGGCACCACCTTCGGCCGCGTGAACGGGCTCGAGTCAATTACCCGCCATTATCCCGAGCGCGGCATCGAGGCGAAGGCGGTCGAGATAATCGTCTGCGCATATGACACCAAGACGGGCGAGAACGACGAGTTCTCCCGCGAAGGGGACTCTGGCTCGATGGTGGTCGGCAGGGACGGTCGTATCATTGGTCTGCTGACGGGCGGAGGAGGGCCAGCTACCAAGACAGTGAAGACCTACATCACTCCCTTCTACGCTCTCAAGGGGGAGATCGAGAAGAAGTACCCCGAGTTCTCCATCCTCCCCGCTGATGCCTGAGTTATCGTCGGCAACCTCGACCTGCGCTTGAGCCGATGCACGCCCCTCCGCTTGCTCGAGAGCCATGGCTATTTGCCGGAGCCCATCCCATTACCTCCGCCCCTAGTCCAGGTGTACCCGTGCCCTACGCAACCCGAGGCGACTCTCGACGCCGCGGCGCTCACGCGAGGAGGTGCGTTCCCAGCACTAGCAGAGCGTACACAGCAAGGCAGGACAGGTGCAAGTGGGTCTGCGCGTGCAGCAGAGCGCGACGCGTCTCAGGCCGTGCGTGTGGAGGTCGCGCCAGAACGCGCGTGTCCTATGGCGGGGGAAGTGGTGCGGCGCGGAGGGTATGGCGAGCGCGTGCGTGCACGAGAGGCGCGAGAAAGCGCGAACGTAATCGCAAGGCGAGCGAATTTCGCCCGCGTGCAAGATGCAAGACGAGGAGCGCAAGGGAGGTCGGGAGTGCGTGCCGCGGCCGACGCACACACGCGCGGCGGAGGACGAGGACTATGGCATGTCCGACACGAACGAACTGTACGTACTACATAGAGGATTACCAGCGAGTTAGGAGATGTTCAGACGTTGGGCCGATTTTGCAAAAGAGCCGGTACGACGGACGCGTCTTCGAGGTGTCGAGGCCCGGAGGAGCTGGCCCGATAGAGCACGGCAGGATCTTCTACATTCGAGGTTGTATTCCCTGGAGACTTTCCGCTCGGCGTCATGGGCAGTGGGACTGGATACACATAGCGATCAGCACACCGTCCAAGGCGGGACTTTGGTGACTCGTGAGCGGTTCAAGCTATATACACCAAGTCCCATGGGCTGACTTCCCAAGTTCGCCAGGACGTGGACCTAAGCTTCCCCTGAGGTCTAGACGTTACAGTGTGGTATTTAAAGGCACAGAAGGTTCGTGACGTACCCGAGTCTCCAGCTCAACCAACTCTCTTTCCAATTCGGAGGCGGCGATCCGGTGTTGCCTGCAGACGCACGCGTGCAAACGCGGCGCTCGGTGCTGCACACGTATAACACGCCCCAAAGAAGTCGCGTACGCTATTCAAAACTGTCCTTCTTCTATCCAGACCCATGGCCTGCGGATATCGTGTGTTTAGTGGGAGGTCGTCTTGGGCGAACTCAGACAAGCGCGTCCCGCAGGTTCGTCGGATGTTACACCGGACGCTGTCGGACCGTGAGCCGGCCCGTGCTGCTCCGAGTGGATGAGCTCAGAGTCGGAACGCGGTCGGGACCACTCTGACCGCGACCACGACCTGGCTCCGTAACAAGACCAATTGTTTCTCTCAAATGTGCCTATAATACTCACAAGTCAGATAAGCTGTCCTCTTGCCCGACCATTTGGCACGCATGCTTCACTCTGACTCGTCATCAATGGGTGGAAATGAACACCACTAGCACGGGTAACCTGAAAAAGAATTGGTTTTGCTACGAGAGGCTTCGCCAGTCCCACACTTGCGGGATCCTGGGATACGGTGCTACGAAACGCACGGATGCTTTCTGTGAGTTTCTGCCATGTGCAACGGGTGTGGCGGCTAATGCATATGGCAGAGATGATGCTATGTTACCCGCTACTTTCATAGCATTCCGCAGGCTGGACCCCACACTGTCAGACAGTGCTTACAGGGTCCAGTATTGGATACTTCTACGGTGATAACTCCTTCATCTTGGTCCAAACTCACCCACAATTCGCTTATGAGCGATCCAGCTTTAGTAACGCAAAAGCCGGCGGTCAGAACCACGGACTCAGGGTCGATGAACGAAGGGTGCCGTCATTCATCCGCCTCGTGTTATCCGAAGCCCTGCCACCGTGGATGATATGCGGTCCCGGTTTACATTGTAAAGGCACCATAGGTCAGAGACAGCATGCAAGTGGAGTGATCATGACATGCTACGGTATTGACCCGACAGTGCAGACGAGCGCAACCGAGCAGTGGCCTGAGGGTCCACATCTCCAGACAGAGGACACAATGCTACCTAGCGCAATGTGTGACGGTAGAAAGTTCGCGCCTTCGCACCACTTCCTGTCGGCGGCCGGAAGAACTATTCGGACGGTCGCCGTGTCACTTCCGACGCGCGCAGATGTCCATCTATCGACCGTAATGGGGTCGGTCTTGCATCTATGGCGTGAGTCTCTTCGTCGCTCTCTTGGACGGATGCGAGACCAGCTAACTTCAGCTAAGACCGTCCAGAAATCTATCATCATGGCATGCTGCGCTTCCATGTCGAAATCTTGACGACACCCGTTCGCCGATGTTCCCGGCAGATATCCGGGTGACTGATTCTATCCTAGGTGTCCAATACCCCGCTGCAATATTAAAGAAGCTGAATATCTCGTAATGCGTAAACATGGTTTCGAAACTAAGATGAGTCAGATCCTGAACGCTTTCAATGGAAGGCCGTAATTAATTAGTTCATCTGTCGTACCTCCAGGGCTACGCAATGTGTGAACACGCGAGGCAGCACGTACGGCGATGTGCCTCGTCGGGTGTGCGCCCTCTTTTCTTCGAATTCTCTTCGGGCGTTGACAGAGTTTGGATGGCCAGCGTTCATGACTTCAGAACGTACGTACACAGCGCCAAACAGCTCGAAGCCGTGCCTCTGCCGCACGCCCGAAAGTCCTGGCATGTCACGTCAGGCTTCAACTCCGAGCGATTTACAACCCAATCCTAAGCGACGTACCCGGGTGTGACAGGTGAGCTGTGAAAGAACGTTCACAGCGGGCGACAATACGCAACCATCAATACTTCCGTTGCGACTTCGTGCGGCAGTCGCAGCCGTTCGATAGACAGGGTACCGAGACCAGGCACGACCAAGGTGCCGGCACTGAACCATCCATGTATGTCGAAATTCGTCCTGCGTATTGGTTTAACATGGACCTCGTTCATCCGCGCGCGTGCCGTTGTCTGTCAGACCTTCCTGGACCCTGCAGCCCCCATATCAAGCCGCCGGCCCACCCGACCTGGCCTATCAGCGCGCAAGCGGGGAAGAGAGCGTGTCACTCAGACGCCACATACATTGATGCAGAAGTCGTTAAGCTCACAGCCGTGCGTCTATTCCTTGCTCCTTTCGCCCCGACCGGTGGTACACGGAGTGCCGGATAGGTTTGTTCTGTTGGCGGGCTCACCCCCGCAAGCTGTCGATGGCAGCCTCCCGCCTTGCCAGGCCATGGTGTTCCCTGATGGTGGGTGACATCGGCGCGTCAACGCTGCGGGCCCAGCCGTGCGCACTGAATAATGCGCTACCTCAGACAGGCATCATTCGCGTCCGTGTCGTCCACAAGGGGATGCGTATACAAGGTTTGTGGACGGATGCTGAGCAGAAGACCTTCCCACTGACGCTGTCGTCGTCTCCACAGGATCATAACCAGGGTGAGTGATTGTGGAGGCAGTCGATGATGGATAATGCGTCGAACCTACCGACTTTGCGGTCTCCTAGTTTCCGTATTGTGTACGCCGAGCTCTACCAAGGGCACCGAACAGGAGCGCAAACGCTTCCACAGACACCCAGAAACCCCCGTCCTGGGGATGAAGATAGCTCCCGGGCGCACCGCCTGCAGCAGAGATACACAGTGCTGCCAAGCTAGAAGACCTTCGTCGGCCCCTGAACAGGCACGTCGACAGTCGGCGGCGGTGGCAAAGCACTCGCCGTCGGGCCCTCGGTGGTTCTGTTCAACTGGCCAGGGTGCAGTTCATGTCTGTATGTCGGGCGGGAGACGGGAATGACCTAGTTCGGGGAACCCGCGTCAAGTGCCCACCCACGCTCCTGCTTCTGCTGCGCCGAGCCCATTTCCGGAGCGAAGCCACCTCCCCTTCTTCCTCTCCTGGCGCCGGCGTCAGCGATTGGGCACGCCGCGCTCAAGAGGGGCGGGGACGGACGTTCGGTTCGGAAGGTTATCGCGCGGATGCTATCTTGCCCGTAAGTTGTCATCTCTACAGGAGAACGCACAGAACGCGAAGACCCCGCAGACGCGGCCTGACGATTCGCGCAGCAAGTCCTGTTGCGGCGGCGGCGACGCCGCCCGAAGTCTCACCCTCGCCGCAATTATCGCAATCATCGCAATTACGTTCGAACGCGGGCAAGCCGCCCCGGGGGACGGCGTCGCACCTTGCAGCCTGGACCCTTTACCGGCAGCCAGGCGCTGCAGCGTCTCCCGCGCCCCACCCCGCGTCCCGAACTGCCAGTGCACCACCGACATCCTTGGACTCCGAGGGAGCCCTACGAGGAAGTTCGTCGGCGCGTGCGCACGGGCCTGCGAACCCAATAGGCCCCGGCCTCCACCCCACATCTGCATCTGCATCATCATACATATAGCCTAAAGCGCGAGCCCCGTCCATTCAATACCACTCGTATTGCAGCCCACAATCAGAAAGTGGCGCAGAAATGAGCACCCTGCGGAACGGCACCTACCCCGTCGTTCGAACGCGTGCGTGAGTCTCGATGCAAGAGGGCGAGCCGGAGGGGGTTGCGCCATTTCCGGGGAGGGGAAGAGAGCCTGCAGAGGACGGCCGTGACAGCGCTGCGCGCATCACCGCGCGGAATGCCCGTCTTCCAGGCCGGCCGGCTGCGGTCGAGCAATCCACCCCCGTTGCAGCAACTCTGGCCAGCCGCAGCGGAGAGCCCGTCGCTCGCTGAGTTCGCTCGCTGTTCTGTGTTCAGCCAGAGCGTTCACGCAGAATCCGTGGGCCTCGGAGGGGCGCCACGGGCTCGCCAGAAATGTCAGGAGCGGCGCGTGCGCGCGGGCAGGGTGTCGGCACAGAAACGTCTGTGGAAGGCCACGGGGCTCTCGCCCGCAATAGCCTGGGGGAGGGCTGCCCAGCGTGTTCGCCGGGCGCGCATGGGTACGGCGCAGCCGGGTGACCGCCGGACGCTCGTGAAGGTGCAGGACGAGCTATCGATAGAGCCCGCTGCTCGTTGCGGCTTTTCCGCGTCCGGCGCGGATGCGACATGCGAAGGCGGCCTGGCCGTGTGCATCGCTGCTTCGCGGATTCTGAGTTTTGCGCCGGACAGGTCTGAACTCTTCCAAGGACAAGGTACTGCTCGATATAGGTGGCAGTACCCAGGGTCGCCGCGGGGGGAGTGCTGAGGCTGAGAACATGGTGTCGCTGGGCCCCAAAGCTGGCCGACCGTCGACGCGGTCCAGCCCCTGGAGTCGCTGGTCAGGCGCGAAGGGGTACGATGATTCAACGATGATTTAAGTGGTGACTACATTGTTACACATTCTATCACTATTGCAGCCAATTTACCGTAAGTGGTGTCTGTTATACATGCGGGTGCGAGAGCCAACGTACATACAAAGCGACGATCGGGGCACGGAAGCAGGGCGGGCGCCTAGTCAATCAACGGCGCAGACGTGGGTACCCCAAGCCTCATCCTGGACGAGGCGAGGTAATCGGACTGGTGGGGATCGGCAGCGGAGGCTCACGCCAACGCGCACGCACCCTCATCCCAGTCGGTGCGGGAGATGACGCCCACGGCTCGGCAGACCGGGCACGACACTTCGACGTCTTCGCCCTCGTCGTTCTCCCGCTCCTCCTTCTTGTCTTCGCCGCCCCAGCCTGCGACGCGCTCCGCGCTCACCAAACAGGACGGGTGGAATGAGTGCTCGCACACGGCCTGCTTGCCCGACCCGTCGTCCTTGAGCGGACGGATGGAGACCCGACGGAGAGCCGCGGTGTCGAACGTCGTGATCGGGTCTTCATCGGAGGGGCCGAGTCCACAGCTGACGTCCGAGCAGCGAAGGCCCATCGCGCGTTCGTTGCGCTCCACGAGTTGGCGAAGAGTGGGGCCCGGGGCAGACGGAAGCGTCCACTTGCGCTTCGGCGCGGGGCGCTGGGCACCAGCGACATCCTCGTAGGCCGGCGGCGGCATAGGCGGGAAGCCAGGGAGCGGACCAGCGAAAGTGAACCAGTCGAGTGGAGGATCGCGAGGCGGTGCATCCGCGTTGTTTGCAGGGGCTGCGCCGCCGGCAGGAGCCTGTTGCGGTTGCGGTTGTGGTTCAGCTGGTGGAGGCCGCCCGAAGACGCGCTCGAACGTATTTCGCACAGCGGCCGCCAACACCGGATCGTCGAGTCTGAATCCGTTGCGATCTGTGCGTGGGCGTGGCCGAGGCGTAGCACCCTGGGGATTGGCCTCAGCGGCGTTGTTGGTGGCTTGCCCGTCAGGCGCGGGTGCGGCGGCGGCACCAGCAGGACGTCCAGGGAAGATAGGGATGATCATACTGATGTCAAAGGTGATGAAAGGCGGCAATGGGGCGTGTTGCTGCCCTGGCTGCCCTTCAGGGCCGCCGCCCTGTGTTTGAACGCCGGCATCGGCACCGGGGGCGACATTGGGGATGTGCGGCGCGCCCTGTGCCTCAGCGTGGGGAACAGGGGCGGGATGAGGTCCAAGTTGAACCGGAACAAACTGAGGGGGAGGGGCAAAGGCCGGTGGCTCCTGCGGTGCCGCATCGGCGCCCGCTGGAGGCGCTGGAGGAGCGTGACGAGCCCGAAGCGGTCGTGGCTTGTAAGTCAATGAGTCGGGGTCAATGTCGAACCTGCACGACGGACACGTCGTGCGGCCCGGCTTGGAGAACCACGGAAGAAGGCAGGACGCATGGAAGACGTGCGAGCAGGGAAGAACCACAATCTTCGGATACTTCTCCTCACCGGGGGCTGTCGACGGGGTTGTGGACGCGGAAGCCTCAGACGTTGACGACGAGGACGCCCCTTGGGAAGCGGACGTCGGGGTGTCCAAATTTATCGATGTCTCGCGCTCCCCCTGCTGAGAAGCGGCGTCCTCACGCGCAGCCTGGTCCGCCTCAGCCCTGGCAAGCTCGGCGTTACCTTCGAAGCCTCCGCCTTCTGGGTCCAGGAGACTTTCCCAGCAGACTGCACAGGTGGGCGCCTCGCCTTGGGCACTTCCAGGACCGCCTACGCGCTCCATACGCTTCACGAGGCCGATGGGGACTTCCTCGACACCATCGACCAGCCGCTGCGCGCGTTCTGGGTCGTCGCGCTCCTCCAGCATGTCCACCCCAATTGGGCCGAATGGGAACGGGAATGGCGGGAACACGAACCCATTTCCGGGAACGTTCCCTCCATCTACGAAAATGGGATAAAGGTACGGACGGAAGACGTAACGTGGAGGGGCATTACCAGTAGGGTTTGCCGCGGCAGGATCCGTTGGTGCGCCGTCAGCGGGACGAGGTTGACCCGCAGTAAGATTGAAGACGAAGTTCAGTGCTTCACGAGCGTTGGTGAATTGAGGGAGGTCGACGCCATGGTGCGCGCCCTCTGCGGTTTGCTCGTGTGCGTGATTGGCGTGATCGTGGTGAGCACCGGGAGCGGGAGCATGCAAGAAGTCAAACCTCCAGATCGTCCTCTGCAATGGGCTGATGTTATCGGCAGGTGGATTGTGACGCGCATCTGCTCCAGGTTGTGGTGCAGGGTTGGCGGCTGGAGCGGCTTGCGGGACTGCGTGCGCCTCTGGGATTGGCATGAAGTGGTGTGTCGCGTCATCATGAGATGTTGGCGCGTGCATTCGCTGGCGGTTGGATTCTCGCGCGTCATCTTCGTCTTCCTCCTCGTCTACCCTCGCGCGACGGCTGTTACCGGAGGAGAGCTGGGGTCTCGAGGTAGATGCTTCGCCAGACGAGCCCGCAGGGTGATCCTCCACGGGCGAGGACATCTCGACATCATGGATATCGCCAACGCTAGCTCCCAAGGGTGGCGCTTCTTGCGGTGCATGGTACGGAGTGCTTGGAGCGGCTGCTGCGGCAACGTAGTCAGCCATGGATTGTGAGGTGCTCGAGGACTGGGGCATCTACGCGATTCAGTCGCCGTGCAATTCAGTAACTTTTCGATAGACACAACATGTATTGCGTGCTTACATGTGCCTCAGAGCCTCCTGGCCCGGAAACCAACTCCGTCTCTACGGCCTGCTGCTGAATAGGAGCTGCTGATTCGAGATGCGGCATATCGGTGGCCTCTATCGTTTGTGTCGATGAAGACGATGCGGCCTCTCCAGCTTCCGCGTTGTGACCGTGTTGTGGTAGGAATGAGCGAACGAGCCCGTGAATGACCTGACCGAGATGAGGATCCAGAATGTGGCTAAAGACACCGTTATTTGACTGGTTGTTGCCGTCCATTGGAGGCTGTGTCGACTGAGCGACGAGCTGCGAGTCTAACAAGCAAGTTGTGGTGGTGGTAGCAGAACAAGAGGAGTGTGCGGGTGAATGCGGGTGGAGGGTATATGAGAGTGCGGTTGCGCTGAGCAATGACGCTGTTGCCGATCGACGCCTGCGCAGGCGCCCGTAACTGCTAGAATGTTCCCGTACCATTCCTGTTATGGCAATCATATCGTGCTCTGAACAACACCATCGCTCAGCACAGCTCCTTCGTTCTTTCATCCCTACGGCACGAGCTGCGATCCATTTCTGCGCCGTATTGTACGGTGGGTTTCATCATGGAGAGACTCGGAGCATCTAATAATACATGTCATCATTCCAGCAGCCTGCTTACGCTACAATAGCTCATGAGAGCCCCAATCCGAGCCTGAGGATAATGACTCTGAGTCACATACCACCATGACTCCGACCGTTCTGAATAGTCAAGAGGAAGTTCATTGAGAGCATATCCCACAGTCTATTCATTGGAGACATCTCCCAGCCCCTGTCTCCTGTTTCACGTCGTGCTTCCATGGCTACTACAATCCACTACTAGGCACGAACTCGCTTGACTGGACAGCTATTCACCACCGGGACCAAGCCTAGGCAACAGCTCTGCATACTCGGCTCTTTCCTAGTACCACGCCGCTTCCCCGCATGGGTCCTGTTGCCAAGCCGCGAACGGTTGCACAGGCTTGTACGCCTTCTCCTCTGCCCCATGCACGACGGACGCCATCCTGGTCATAGTCGCCGCTGGCGCACCATCGCGAGATGTATCTGGCCGACCCTGAGTCCCGACCTGCGAGGTTCGCAGGCAGCGAAGCAGCGCGCGCCAGTGCACCCATCGCGGAGCAAGTCACGATGCCGCGAGGTCCCTGCGGCGCGACGCGACGCCCGCCCCGCGGCTCGCTTCCGGTTGCAGTGGGTGTCCCTCCCCCTTTGCGCATTCACTCGCTGTCCGCCGCACCGACCAGGAGGCCCGTCAGTGATCGCGGGATCACTCCCGTCCGTACGACTGCTTCCGGCGGCTTCGGTGCCCGCCAGCAGACACGATATGACGCCGCCGCAAGACGACGTGAGAGCGGGCCTATTTGGAGGCGTTCGCCTGCAGCTCCGGCGTCGGACGTGCTCGCCGTCTATCAATGGTATCCCTTGTCCGCGCCAGGACAGGCAGTCCTGTCCGCCCGGCACGGTGGGGTTCGCGTCTTCTAGCTGCATGCGCCTTCCTCCGCCGCGTTCTCCAAAGGTTATGCGCATGCTCCTTCGGCGAGGCCCCCGCGCTTCGACGGGTGCTTCACCCGTGCGCGCGCCTGGCCAGGGTCCTTCGCGGTGTGCGTCTATCGCTCCGTTTAAGCTGTTCGGCACCATCGCCATCGAGCAGTCCGCCTGCACCCCCCGCGCGCGATAACCAATTCCCGGCGCTGCACCCCGGCGGCCGCTGTCAGCAGTGTTCGCGAGCTGCGTGTCTGGCGCGGCTTCTGCTGGCTGCGCCGCTGCACTTATCACCATTCAACGGGCCGGCGCGGGCCTCCTTGCCAGGGCCATCCGCCGCGACTGACGCATTGCATCGCGCTCCCGCCGCGCTGTGTGGCAGTTGTAGATGGTGCGCACATAAGACGGTGCGGGATCGCCATGACATCACGCCGCGGGCGTGCGCGGATGTCGACGCGCACGTTGCGAGCTTCCCGGGAGGCGCGGCGGGTAGCGCGCGAAGGGAGATGCTAATACTGCTGATTGATCACCGCGGTGTCGACGAGGGGGGACGGTCTATCTCCCACCTATCTCCCGCCGCCTCCGCGCCCGCGTCTGGGGGCGGCAGGGGGGCTGGCCGGGCGGGCGATCCGCCGTGCCGCGGGGTGAGCAGGAGGGGCGCCCGAAGGCAAATGGCGAGCTTCTTTGCGCGATCGTGTTGGGAGGCGGAGAACCTGGGCGCGCGCCTGGATCATATCGATCGCGCACAGAGCTGTGCCTTTCTCTTCCAGATACACAATCGAGATTGCTCCTCCGATGCGGCACGCGGGCTCGCGTCCCATGCGGTCCGCCTGCTTCGGCCTGCTTCCCAACGCGTTTGTCGCCGATGCGCACCCGCCCGGCGGGCTACTGGTCCCGCGCGCGGCCAGCTTATACGGTGAACTTAGCTCCTGGGAACCCCGCCTCGTGCCTGGCATTAGAATAGACGGTAAGTTAATACAACCGAACCTCTTGGTACACCAGCGCACAAGCCCTTCTCCTGCGCATTACAATTGCCTCCACGCCCGGGCAGCTGCTGCAGCGCAGCCCATCATCACCCTCGGTGGCGTCACGCTGCTTTCGCTTTCGCATTACGTTGGTGGTGGCGTAGATATCGCCTCGCCGCCGGGACACCGAACTGTAGCGTCCGCGCGACGCGCGAGTCAGTTGACCCTCCAGTTAGAAGCCTCGCAAGCCACGCACCCGAACAGTGGGATACAGAACCAGCAGGAAAGCGCCAATCGACCAGGCCCAGCGCACGCGTGTAGGCAGCGGCTCAGGGAACTGTCCTTGGCTCCACTTCGCAATCACCAGCAGCTCCGTGCCAATCGTGGCCAGCAGCAGCCAGACGTGCTGTCCCATTCGCACGGCCCTCCTGTTTGAGCAGCCGCACGGGATACCGTGAATGAATGGGAGCGATCGTCTGTCAGCCGTCTTCGTACACAGTGGGGAAGAGAAGCTGCGCACCTCGGGTCGTTCACGTACTGGAACAGCTCTCGCACGGCAGGGAGGGCGCAGAGGAAGACTCCCACTAAACGCGCAATTACAAACGGATGGTCGGGTTCCATCCATAGCAGCGCCTGCGGTGACAATGCATCATCGCATCACGGAGACATAACAGCACCAGCGAAGCGCACTAACCTTGAGGTAGAAAGGGTTCAATTCAGCCGCTAGGAACACCGCCAAAAGCAGTACGACCGTGAAGTAATGGCCGAACGACGCAGTTCCCTCCCACTTGAACGTCGTCCAATCGTGCGGTGAGAATTGACTGATGACGCGCTTGGTCTTCGAGCGGATGCCTCGCGTCTGGCGGAACCCCCGCCAGATGTAGTGCTATTCGGGGTTAACGTGTGTTGCACCGCGGAGGAAGCGTTCACAAACCTTGACTTCGAAGTACTGGCACGTTTTCATCCCTGACCGCGATATGTTTAGCGGGAGTGAGACGCTGAAACTTTACAGTAGCGTACCGAGATACGTCCCGAGCCAGTTGCAGACCAGGACGTCGAGTATCCACTGCGTGTGCAGTCAGCAGGGCGACATTCCGCCGATATGAGTTCCACGCACATGATCCCACCAGCACTGTAACGGTGATCTTTAGAGCGGTGCCTAGAGATGACAGAGCATGACGTACCTCCGCAAAATTGGCCAGCTGGTGTTGAAGGCTGTACTCCGCGAATTCGAAAGCAATACTAAGAATCTGACATACGGGGATATCAGAGCGCAGCATATTGACCCGAGTGCGCAGAACATACCCAGCAGAACCAGTAGTCACGGAGGATCAAGGCCTTGCCAAACCACCCGAGCGCATGCGCCAAGCAGAAAATATCTATCGCATTCTACTGCCTCATGTCAGCGGCTCCGCGGACGCCGGGAAACGCGACGTACTCACCCATACATTCTGGACGGTGAGGTCACAGTTCTCGGCGTAGCTCTTCTCCGGCAGGGGCTTGCCCAGCGACGGATCGAGGAATTTCATCATGGACCGCGCGGAGTCGACATCTTGGAAGAGCAGGAAGACCATCGCGCCCTCGTACAAGAGGTTGATGCCCAGCACAACTCTCCAGAACGCTGGGATGGCCGCCGGTTGGAGGGCGCTCTGGCGGACATACGGAAGCGGCAGGCACTCACCTGGGTGGGGTCTAACGAACGGACCGTCGCGGAACTGTATCATCGAGAAGAGGATGAATGACGCGATTGACGCGTAGATACCGCTGGCGTGCGTTAGCTACGGAGCTCGGCGCCGCGCGTGGGCATAGAGACAGAAATGACATACATCCGTTTCTTCTCCTCGCCCTCCTTCAGTACATCCTGCGTCATCGCGACATATGCCAGGACGGCCAGGGCTATTCCGAGCGCGGTCAAAGTGATTGGCTTGTAGAAAAACCTGCGAGGGGTATTGGTCACGGCATTGAGGGGATTACGCTGGGTACGCACTCGACGCTGGTGTCATTCTGCTCCTGGAAGGGGGTGATGTGGGTATATGGCTCCTTGCGGTCCGCCTGCGACTCAATCAGCCCCCGAGCCCTCGTCTGACGCGTACACACTCACATCAAACCCTACGCATGCGGATAAGAGAGATGCACGGACGCAGACAGGGACGACTCACATCGCACAGGCGTCCCATCCAGCCCCGGGAGCGGTTCTTCAGCATCGAGGGGGTGCGACAGCGGGTTGTCGGACTCGTCGACGGGTGATGTCAAGGGGGACGATGACGAGAGCGCGGGGTCCTCCGCCTGCGACATCGCGAAGACGGTGATGGTCGTGGTAGCAAGCAGCTGGGCGGCCGGAACGCCGTGCAGGCGAGGCAGGGCGTCCGGCGGCGACGTATGACGCGCTCCGCGCCACCACGGCCGCGCTTAGCGAACTAGCGCAGGCACGTTTGTCACGCGTCGCGGGACTCGAGCCTGCGCCGCGTCGACGTCGTCCATCACGCTCTGTCCGCCGTTGACGACGTCGCGACGAGCAGCCCGCGATGCGCGCCTCGGTCGGCGCTGCGTGCGTTGGCGGGGCTCGCACAAATAGCTCACCGCTCGCTCGGCAACTGAATAGGTTCCCCGCTTCGAGACGGATTTATTATTAAGTGTGTGTCACATTATCTGCGCTCCTCGATCGAGACGGTGGGGGCGCTCGCTTGGGCACTTCGGGTGAGAGGAAAGGCGGGACGCCCCGCTCGTTGGCTGTCTACTACTCGATTCTGGTATATTGCATGCGCGAGCCCTGATACATGACGCCGGGGCCGTAAGATCTGCATCAGCCCTGCACACATCCCGGAGCAACGCCGATGCGCCAGGCTGCGCCGAGTGCGGGTGACATCGAACCTGGACCTGGACGTCAAGCTGGAGCAGCCAGTGAGCTCACAGCGGCGAACAAGGGTCGTGCTTATGGCAGAAGGGTGGGGGACCCGTTCGCTAGTACATCCGAGCACGATGGGTGTGCACGTCGCCGGGTGCGGCGGGTTTTTAGGTTCCGAAACGGTAATGAAAAGATGCCATGGGAGGACATGTGGTGGAAGGCGGGGGAGCCACGGCAAAAGAGGATGGCGAACTCGAGATACGCATGGCCCAGCGTCACGTATGTAACAAGACCGCACCAAGAGGGTGCCCGTAGGTCACCCGACGCTGTGGTTGTGATCCTCACAGCACCTGTCAATGTGATGCCGTTGTGTTAGCATCGCGTAAAAGACAACATGGCCACGATTGTTTGGCCTTACGGAAGAGGGAGATCTTCTTTGTCTTGGGACCGGGGTCTCTCGGGCCCTGGGCCCAGTGGGTCAGCCGAGAGCACCCCCGAACGTAGGGATGGGAACGCAGGAAGACGCGTGCAAGCCGTGAAGGAGTGGGGAGAGCCTTCTGGCGAGGTTCGCGAATCCGAGGGGTCCATGGCGGGGCACTAGCGTGTGGAAAAACTCTATCAATACCGACAGGGACACACACGAGCGCCGTATCCACTAACCTCAAGGACGCCGTTGGCGATCGTCCACACAACGATACATAGAATTCCACCGATGTCGGGGGTGTCAGACAGACTCACGCAGGTGGACATGCGAATAATAAGCCGACGACAATTGGACATACGGCAGGCGAGGTGTTGTAAGTTGAAGGCTGTTCATCGCCGTGAGCCACTTCGGGACGGCCACGAGCTCGACCGTCGAAGACCGTCTCTGGGGCCGCGGCGACCGTGCTCCTCGAGTGGAGGTCCAGCCTCCGGCCCGCGAAGGCGTGTATGGTCAGAACCCGCGAGAAGATTGACTCGAGCACTTGGCCGCCCAGGAGAATATTCGGCCACGCAGTTTTCGGTATATTTACGGTGTGCGAGCCTGGCAGAAAGAGGTAAGCAGTATCAAATTCCATATGTCCATATACGAAGCGATGATACACCAGACCTCCGCGAATCTCGCACAAGGTGGACTCGGGAAGCAGATTGCGGTATCATGTCGACGTGAACCTTCCACAAAGAAACCCCGGGTTGCGTGCGGGTTGTGAGGAGCGCACGGCTCGTGGAGTGGCCTTGCCGCCGCTAACGGCGTTCCACTGGCAAGACATCTGTCTGAGCAGCCTGGCGTGCTGGTGTGGGAATTGCGCGTGAAGCTGTGGGCATCGTCTGTGAATCGCAAGTCTGATGCAATGCGACAGGACTCACATGAGCGCACGCCTGCAGATGTGTGAGGCGGGCGGGCATCCCGAGCGCGACATTGCACTTCGCAACTTCGCTAACAGTCAGTGGCGTTGGCTCTTGGCGGCTGTATTGATCGCGGACGCCACACACCAAATAGACGCAAGCACACAGCCGGAGTGGCTCTTCGCCCGTTTTGGCGGACCAGGAACGAAGACGCGTACGCCTCCCCGCAGCTCACGCTCAACTGCTACAGTATCTCTGCCCAATCCAGTCGTTCATCTCGGGATGCTTGACTCCTGCTTCGTCGCATTTGGTCTCTTATCTCGTCGGGCGCGTCTCTCGCGTCGGAGTCTTTGTCGCTGCGGGGAACTCTCGACCACTTGTGCGCGGGATTCCATGCTAAATATTATCGCCAACGACAGCCCAGGCTTCGTCGGCTCATGAATGTCTTTGCATTTACCTGCTATCGTCTTCAGTGCTACTCCGACATCGAATGAACTGGACTCCGCGACCAGTGACAACGCTTCGCCTACGTCCTGGAACCCCTCCGCGCGAGAGTTCCGCTCAGGAACGTCATGCCGGATGACTGAGAAATGACAGCGCCACTGAACTCTGCACCGGGGTTTGGAGAATGTATTGACTTTGGATGGGCTGTCGTCAGGCGGACCGGAAGATCATCAGCTGGCATCGGGGACCGGTGAGTATTCCCATCCAAATTCTAAACTGAATCTTACTCTCCGTCGGCCGACCCCCCGCAGAGTGCCGCTGTGACAGGGCGCGGAACCAAACTCATCTAGTCCCTTCAGAACCGGGCGATGGCGTGTGCGTTCCCGCACGACATGCAGAAGCCAGCGCCCCTTGTCCAGACAGGTCCGCGGGGTGTGATGAGCCTCCTGCGTGATCGGACAGATTCGCTCATTCGCGGGACCGCGTCTGGGGGCCAGATATCTCCGTCTCGATCACTGAGCCTCCTGCATCTGGGACATGCTGCTGGGACGGCCCGAGCGGCGAGCGGCGTGTGCAAGGGCTGGGAAACTTGCCCACAACCTGGCGCCCCCGTGTCACAGGCCCGGAATCGACTGCGAGATAGCCTAAAGAGATGCGTGCCAGCAGCCTGGCTTCCCGTCCGCGTTCGCCAACTGACCCGGGCTGGACGGAGCAGAGACGGCTGAGCAGCGTCGTGCGTTCCCACGGAGGGGCCCTCCGAGCCGTCGAGCAGGGTCGGGCGCAAGCTATGCTCCGGCGGGGGCGTTGCAGGATCTGGCGCGAGCGGGACTGGAGGACAGTTTCCCTCGCGCATTCACGTAAGTTATAGAACCTCATTGCGCCGGACAGCCAAACTCAAACGCCACATTTCTGATGTATGTTCTGCACGTCATTTGTCACTGTCTGTGCTTGCCACGCGTGCGCTGGAGATCTGCGGACCCCGCGCCTCTGCCTGCGCGTACTTCGTCCGGTGTTCTCGCCAGCCCCCCGCAGGCGCCCAGCGCCGACCCGGACCATCAGAAGCTCGCCTTCCCCCGACCACGCCGTCGGCATACGACACGTTGGGGGGAGCAGATGCACGATCATTCAGCGGCCCGTTCCGCTCCTCCCGAGACCGTCTCGGTCGTTTTGCACGCCCCGTCCTCGCTCATTCGTCCTGCTTTGTCGCCAGCTGACTCGCCCCCGGCATCTCAGCCCCGACGCTCCAGAATGTAATTATGACCAGCTCGTTGCCGCCGCCGAGGTACGTGCTTGATTGTGCCGGAACTACCCACTAGGCCCCTCCGATGCTACTTATGTGATGGCCTATGTACATATGCATCCAGCCCCCTTCCCCGCTCCAGTGATGCGTGGCCTGCGGGGCTCGGGGTTGCCCGCATGTCTGATTGGTCGGCAGGGCCCTGTTCCTGGATATATCATGAGTACGGAACATGTCAAGCCCATCTCTTAGCCCGTCGCTTGGTAGCCGCATGCTTTCAGAGAACGCGAACCACCGCGTCCGCGGCCGGGCACAGTGAAGTCCGCCGCACACGCTTCATTTCGCCCCGGCGGAGCCCAGCATCGAAGGTCTGGTTCGTGCCGGACGCCTTGAAGAGTCATCTCCCCGTTTTGCAGGGTCTGATTCCAACTTTGATATCTAAAGAACTCAGATATGATCATTCCCTGCATAACGGCATCCGACGTCTCCCATTCAGCAGATAAGATTCTGCTTCCGTCACCTGTATCCACCCTGGGTATTTCCTGAAGTCGCACGGTGTGTCACGCCCTATGTGAAACGGCGTGCGTCCTGGGCAGCCCAGAAGCGCGGCCAGGGGCGTGGATTCCGTTGGCTAGCCGGTCCAATTCGGTGCTGTTTGTCCTTCGATGGTGTTACGGTGAATCGGTATCCGTGTCTAGATCTGCTGAATCTGGTCTGCAGCGTTTCCTACCATGGCGCTTGCACTGGGGACGTACAAAAGGGTCCCCGTCCCGTCAACCTTCGGGATCCCCATCACCCTACCCTAGCCATGACCATGTCGCCAGGTGCCATTATCCCCTCGGATTCTCTCCCGCAGCCCCTCCAGTTCAAGGGCGAAATCATGGATTTCGAACTGGCTGGCATGGAGGTCGACCACCGCAAACGGTGAGCTCCCCCTCATCGTCATCTCCCCCTTCGCGCACCACTCAACTCTTTACCGCAGGCGACGCAACCGGACTACGCAGTCATGCTTGAACTGCCACACGTCGAAGAGGAAGGTGCGCGCTCGATGACGCGCTCGCGTCCGCCACCGTCGGTGCTGACCTCCACGCTAGTGCGACAGGAAGCGGCCCTGCCAGCGCTGCATACAACTCGGCCTGGTGAGTGTACCTTATTTTGGCGTCATCGCTTCTGTGTATTAATCAACGCGCGATGTCCGTCTAGACCGGACTGTGTGTCTACGAGGTCGACGACCCTGCACTCAGGTATGTCGCCGCCACCGTCAGGGCTGGGCGTCACGCTCATAGCCGCGCAGGGACGACCCGAACGTAGACGAAAACACGCGTCTGCGGAACAGGATCGCCGAGCTCGAGAGCCTCGTCCGCGAACTTCGAGGTGTGTGCCCTCCCTACCCTCCTCGCCCCCCTCGCCCTCATAGCCTGCGCGCGCCCAGGCAAGCCCCATCCGAAGTGGGCGGAGCCGAACTTCTGCGACGGGGACGTCACGGAGAAGTGGCATTCGCGCTCGTCGCGCCGACTACAGTATCAGAAGCTGCCGCGCGACCGCCACGACGACGGCGCGGGCCTCCAGGGGAGCAATGGGCGAATGCCACCGGCCATCAAGACGGAGACGGACCCCCCTCAGCACCAACTCTACCGCTTCACACCCTCCCCTCCCACCTCCGCCGTCGACAACGCCACGGGCCAACCATATAACCTCTATCGAGGTCAAGACGCCCAACAGCACGGACACACTGTCTATTCTCCCACCGACGACTCGTCGTGCTACTCGTCCCCATCATCGGCATCTGTCATGACCTACAGCGAGGCGCGGCACGGGGTGTCATCCATGGGCCACGGCGGGGACCAGTATTACCAGGAGCAATACGTCCAGCACGCGTGCTCCTGCGTCACCAATCCCGCGGCGGGGAACGCTCTGATCGGGCTCACTAACCAGCTGCAAAACACGCTCGCGTTGCTTAGACAGCTGCCGGAGCACAATTCCCGACATACCTGCGTCATCCTGAGACGAGTCGCGGAGCTGAATGATATCATGCAGTCAGTCGTGTCCGCCTCTTTCTTCCACGAGGTCGCGCGGGCTGATGTATTTCCTCCGACAGTGGGAGCAACGCGACGAATATGCCCGCGGCGCCGTCGTACGACGGGCTCTCGACGACGCCTGAGACGGAGCTCAGCATGTCGCCGATCTCGACGTCCAGCCAGTCGAGCGTGAGCGCGGCGTCGCTCCACGAGCAGTGGTCCAACACGATGCCGCAGTCCGCCGGGTACGACACCTACTTCCCCGTCGCCACCACACAAGAGCATGCTGTGTTCCATAAAACGTATCACATCGGCAATTAGCGCGCTTCCCTCGATATTTTCTCGGGACATCATGGACCTCGCCTCGGCTTGTGATCGATAAACACCTCTTTTTCATATATACCACCCGCGCGCCCTGTCGCTGTATTGATCCGGCTATGCGTGTAGGACGGGGCCCGCTTCTGGTCGTCATGTACATTATACGGCGTCGGTGTAGCATAGTAGCGTATTACAGGCAGTATAATGCATTCCGTACATCTTGGGTACTCCTCCCGCGTTCTCACTCCACCCGCCTCCGCTGCAGCGTGTGTTCTCAGGCGTCGAGCCCGTCCCGTTCGATCTGGAAGCGGAAGACGCGGTCGCGTCCCGGATCTCCTCGCGCTACGCGGCCGTCGTCGCTGCGAGTCCAGACGTCCCGCTCGATGAATAACGCGGTTCCGTCCCGCCGGATCAGGATTACCGTGGACAATCGCGTGCCGTAATAATTAGGAGGCGGCGTGTCTGGTGACTCGCGTGCGCCGATGGGCAGGGGATCTACCATAATCGTGTTCCGCAGCTCGGAGCGGTCGACGGGGGCGTGCTCGCTTTTCCAGCTAACGGTGCCAAGCGCGTCAGCGTGGGGGGAACAGCCTGGGTGGGAGCGCGGGACGCACGTCAAAAGCGCGAACAATCGCTCCACGATCTCGGCCTCTGTAGCGTCTTGTGGCAATGAATTGAGAACCGCCGCCAACGTCTGGATGCCGTGCTTGACCTTGGGCCACTCGCTCGCGCCGTGATGGTCGACGCCGTTCGACATCCCGCCGCACTCGCGTTCCTCCTTTGAGAGCATGCGGGCTGTGATCGGGCCACCACCGCCCGAGTTCGTTGCTAGTGCGCCGTCGAGCGCGAGCGCACTTGGGCCGGAATCGCCGCGCGCAGGCGCGGGGCTCAGGAGGAGCAGATTGAACCCCGCATAGGCGCGATCGCGGTTCTCGAGCAGAAATTCGTCGATCTCGGCCTCGAGCGTCGCCTTCGGGTCCTTTGGAAGCAAGAACGAGGAAGTGAGGTCTCCGCGGGTTGAGGCATACTTCCGTGGTGCTTCCGTAATGTTCGTGCTGAAGAGAGGTGAGCATCGCTACAACGTACGGACCGGGGATCGTGGGCTACACACAGCAGAGCAAGTCGGCCACTGCGATTGAGCCCTGCCCATGTCCCACCGGCGAGGAGGTCTCGACCTGAGAGGACGGGCCCTTCGGTGTTATCGACGGCGCTGATTGGCCCGAACGCGTGCCAATGGGCAGGCGAGGTGGGCCGAGACAGGAATTCATCCCGATTACTGCATAGGATGCTGTACGGACGCTCAGTGCCAAGCTGCGTAGGGCGCAAATCGCGATGCATGAATCAACAACGCACAGTGCGTACTCGGGATGCTCGAGGGACCAGAAGCCGACGCACATTGGGTGTCCCGATCGACTGTAAACTAAGGTACAATGAGCATCGAAGTGGACGGGTGCAGACATATTCCAAACTCAGCAGAGAGCAAGAGGACTGAGCGGACAAAAGATGCCAGAAACGCTTACCTGAAGGGGAGCAGGAGGACACCGCCAGTAGTCGGATCTGTTAGCAGATGACCGATGAACGTCGGACAGGTGGTCGGCGTGGGTGAAGGGCGGATGCTGGACGTGTTTGTTACTACTTGAACGTTAGATGAAGAAGGTTGGGATCGAAAGGCACGGTGATACGGTTATAGTGGCTTGAGATGTGTTCCCGACGGTGTCTCGAGGGGACTCGGACAAGGCGAATGGTCTCTGGACCGCCGGTGTTAGCGCAGACAGTTGGACCGCACCTAGAACGCGTAAGGCCGGTGAATGCGATCGACAAGGGTCAGCGTCGGCCGTACCTGGCTAAGCGGAATTGAACGCGATTGGCAGAGAGACTCGCTTGGAGAACGTCCTCTGTTCTGTTCGAGTCTCGAACGCGCGCGCAGCAAGAAAGGAGAAGGAGCGCGGTGGGACGCCCGAGAGCCTCGCAGCGAATAGGATCACGCGTCACACGCGCCTTGTACCGCGTCCGCCGCTGCCCGACACGGCCGTGACTGCCTGTTCGTGCCAGCGCCGCGGGCCGAGCATCTTCTGTACGTTTGGCGGAGTTGGAGGAGGACGCAGCCTGGGCTTATGAGCTTCTAGTCATTGCAGAGCGCATCCTGGTTGGCCGTAGCCTTGTTCTTTCCCATCTCTCGACCACCTCCGTCACCTGGAATCGTCTTTCTCCGCTTTCGCAAATAACTCGTGAAACCGCGTAAACACGCCAAAGCCCGCTACCGTAGATGTAAAACACTTCTGAGGCTGTACTAGTGTTCCAGGAATATGATATCGGCTCTGTCGGTGTTCAGCAGTAAATTACCACGAGGTGGTGCTGGGAAAAGGAGTTACTTCAAATTCTGTGGAACGTTAGATATCTCTTGACCGGCAGAGCTCTAGAAAATACCAATAGGAGCGAGAGAGCGCGTTTGACCGAGTGCAGATGCGTGCGTACAACGTTGGAGGTCGCGCAGGCAGTCCTAGGCAGTTGGTAGTGAAGCACAACAAGCCGTATACGAGAGTAATGCTAGCTAGCAGATATTAGCGACTAACGGAGAATTACTTACATTTGATCAGCTTCGCGACTTGCGGAGTTTGTAACTATGCAAGCGCTTATCCAGTCGACCGAATTGTTCTTCCTTTCCTCGCCCCACTGTGACTGTCAAGAAGGTAGCGGCGATGAACTCCTCCAATACCGTCTTGCTCGATAACGGGGCCTCGACCATCAAGGCGGGCATACTCGGCGTTCACAATGACCAACCACTGTGCGGCCGGACATGTGTAGGGTAGACACGCAGCCTAACCGCCGTGTGTCTAGGATCATTCCGAACGCGGTCGTGCGATCCAAGGGAGACAATTCGACGTACATCGGCCACGAGCTTGTGAAATGTCGAGATTTCACCTCACTTAGGTTCCGACTGCCGTTCGAAAAGGTAGGTTCTCACCATGATCATCTGTCCGGTGCGGAAGATGAAGACGTCGCAGCTGTCAGGGTTTCCTGGTCGACTGGGATGCGCAGAAAGCCGTCTGGGACGGGCTCTTCAGCGACGTCCTACGGGTTAGTGCCTTGACATAGCCCAGGGATGTTCCAACTGAAACAGTTGCCATATGAAGATTAACACGTCGGAGGCGTCGTTGTTGATCACGGAGCCGTATTTCAACCTTCCCAACATACAAGACGTATATGACCAATTTATCTTCGAAGAGTACGAATTCAAGGCGTACCACAAATGTACCCGTGAGTTGCATCTCTTCCGATGAGGTAGCGCGATCGTAGTAATCTCCTCGGGGTTTTCCATTTTTAGCAGCGTCACTCGTTCCGCACGGTCGCCTACTGGCCCAGCCAAGTCTACCATCCCCGGAGTGTTTACTCGTGATAGACTCGGGATTCAGTTTTACCCATGTTATACCGGTACTCAAAGGTGCCGTGGTATGGGACGCGGTGAAAAGGTCTCACTGTGTTTACGTGTGGTGACTGTTTGTGCTGACCCAAATGGTGCACAGAATCGACGTCGGTGGGAAGCTACTAACCAATCATCTCAAAGAGATCGTGTCCTTCCGCCAGTGGAACATGATGGACGAAACTCACATAATAAACGAGGTCAAAGAGGCGTGCTGCTTCGTCTCCGAGGACTTTAAGCGCGACCTCGAGGCCTGTCGGTATGTGGAACCCCCTGACGCCACAGTGCGTGACCGAAGCTTACCACGTCGCCAGGGTCCAATTCACTAAGAACCGCATCACGCAAGAGTATATATTCCCGGACTACGCCGCGAACAGGCCGGGGCGCATACGCCGACCAGGCGAGCCGCTCGACGAGGCCGAGCAGACCCTGACCATGAATAACGAGCGCTTTGCGGTTCCCGAGATACTGTTCCATCCGACGGACATCGGCGAGTATCAATCTCTGCGTATTCGCCGCTCTCGGATTCACGCTGACAGCCTGACACGCCGCGCACCGCTCTAGGGCTCGACCAGGCCGGGATCAGTGCGACGGTGGCGGCGAGCATATCGCTCCTCCCGCAGGATCTGCAGGGCCTCTTTTGGGCCAACATCGCTCTGATTGGTGGCACAACCGCACTGCCAGGCCTGCGCGCGCGACTGTAAGCACCCAAGCACGCGCACGTACCCCCGCCGCAGCGCTGCATCTCCGCCCCATGTCGTAATACTCGCTGACGCCGTGCGCCGCTGACAGCACGTCCGAGCTGCGGTCTCTCGCGCCCATCGATTGTGAGGTGGCGGTCTACGCGTCCGAACGGTGCGTCGGCTCCCTGCGTGCATATGCGGAAGTGGAAGCTGAGAGAGTGCGTGGGTGCGTGCGCTACTAGACCCGAGTTGGAGGCGTACCGTGCCGCCGCCGCGTTTGCCGCGCGCCCGGAGTTTTCCCAGTGCGTGGTGACGCGGGAGGAATATCAGGAAATGGGAAGCAGCGCGTGCAGGCGCAAGTTCCGTGACTGGAAGCCCTCCGAGAAGGAGCCCGCGGCGCGGGGCCGCGAAACGGCGAAGGGCAGGGGCCAAAAGGGCAGGGTGCAGCAGGAGGACGAGGAGGATGCAAGCCCACCGCCGACGAAGAAGCCCACGCGTGGGAGGGGAAGAGGAAGGGGTTCTGCGCGGCGGCAAGCTTGAGTCTGCTTGAGCGTCCTTCCGGACGTGCGTTGTGTGTACGATTTGTATTGCGTGCCCGTTCTCGTCATCAATGCCGTCGCGACCGTCTGCGCGAGCCGCACCGCGCTCTACGGGGCGGCGGGAGGCACGGAAAAGAAGCCGCGCCGGGCGTCCGAGATGAACATTGTATTATGGAATACACTGCGGCGTACATGTAAACGAAGCTAGCCATACACGAGGGAGGCCCAGTCAGCGGACGGTTCGCCATTATTATCACACCCGATAGAATACACGGAACCCGAACCCGAATGGTTCTTGGCGACGTCTGGCGCGGGCTGCACGGTCAGTTGCTCATCATCCATCATGGTCTCTTCCTGCTCGACCACTGGCTGCTCGGGGGACTGGTGTATCACACTGTGGAACAAAGGACGAAGCGCAGTCAGGAACGGGGACATGTGGAAGCGAAGAGAAGCGGTGGCTTCTGGGACGTGCACTCACTCGACCAAATCGTAGAGCTCTTTGACGAACTCGCGGGGGTCTTTGCTGTAATCAACGCCCTTCGTCGGCCTGATGTCGCACCATACCGTCGCAAGCAACGGCTGGTCCGTCGCCTCGAGCATCTCAATCTCTGCCCGCACGAACGGGTCGCATTCGTTCTTGAGCTGGTCCCTGATGCCCCCGTCGAAACTGAAGCGTCGCAAGAACCGTTCCAATTCATCCTCGTCAAGGCCGAACTCAAATTGCGACGTATGAAGCTCCTGGATCTGGAGACGGGCCCCAAAGACCGTACACTGCGAAAGGCCAGCCCAAGGAAAGATAGTCTTCGTCTGGATCGCACGGCCACAGCCCGCCGCGGCTCCAGCCTTGAGCGGCGCGATGGGCATGTACCACGACTCCGTGCCGGGCAGTTCCGGTAGTTCTTCGAGGTCCACGACGTACAGAACGTGCAGTTCCTCCAACCAACGCGACTTATCGTCGGACTTCTGCATTTGTGATCCCACTACGAGCCCGATATAGCGCTTGACGGGAAAGTTGAGGATTTCGTTCCACTCTTTGGAGCCTTCTGCGAATACCGTGTTCTCCGCGACGGCCGCCGTGTCGAGTTGGAAGGCAACATATCTGCCATGCTGGATGCGCCACGCATCTGCAGGGATAATATCCGGAGCGTTGCTGATAGAGAAAGACGGGCGACGCGATTCGGAGGTCCGGGGTCGACCGGGCAGGGAAGCCCAAGCCGTCGGTGACGCCATGTCGACGTCTCGGGCGGAGATGCAACCCCCGGGACTGATAGACCGAGTGGCGGGGATGTCCAACATCATGGCGGGGGGGATTTCTCGGACTCCCATTGTGTCTAGAGAGGCGATGTGGAAGCGGGTTACGAGGTGATGGAAGGAGTAGAGAAGGTAGCGGGGAAGGTTGCGACGGTCCGCAAACATTGCGATCTTTATACGTCCTATCGCCTGCATTGGACTATTGTCCCGGGTCATCAAAGCGACGTTGGCCATAGCCAGAACGTAGCCACGTATTGACAATAGCGCTCGTCATGGCTCAGCGCCACAGGAGTCGCGCTTTGACTACTGAATCTGCTAGAATGGGCCAGCGATAGGAATACATTGTCATAATGAGAGAAGAATAGAGATACACGTATCGTAGAGAGCCATCCGTGTCCAAAAAAGCAAGCCCGCCCTATGCAGCTACGTCGCGTTCCATACGCCGTCGTTTCCTCTCCTGGTCCTCCGACATGAGGCGCTCAGCTGCGGTCATGGGCGCTTCCCTCTTCTTGCCGTTGCTCTTCTCTGGCTGTGTCGAGTGTGGCGAGGAAGAGGGCGCTGCGGCAGCCTGCTTGAATACATTAGGGCGTTTGAGCGGGTTCGCTTTGAGAGGGTTCGCTGCAGGCTTCAGAGCGTTGAGCTTGATGCCCGAAGAGGCCGCGGCCGAAGTCTTTGGTGTGAGAGATAAGACGACCTTCTCGGTGGTCTCGTCGCGCTTCAACCCGAGCTCCTCTGCTGGGGGAGACTCTTCAGGCTTGGATCCGGATGCTCCAGCCTCAGCAGCGGCGCGTTCGATCTGCTCCTCAATGAGGGTCCGCTCCCGCTGCTCATCGGAGACATTCATTCGCTCTTTCTTCATGGATGCCTCCTACGGAACAAGGCACGTTAGCGGATCATGGCACGCAACGTCCGGAAACGACGCCTACCTGTTTAGCGAGTGCCTTGGGGCTGTTATCAATCCAAGCGATGAACCAGCCCTTCTCCGTCTCATCCACCCGTGCCACTCCCGTCCGGCCGAGATGTTTGACGAATTCGGTCAATGTGACCCATCGGGTGGAGTTCATGTGAAGATGGGAGCGGTCCTGGATGACCTCCTGGTAAACCGTGTTCGCTTTGACACGCTTCGTTCCGAACCGGCGCGAGAGGAGTTGGACGAAGTCGTGCTGGAACTGAGAGGAGTAGTCTGCGATGTGCTTCCCTGCACTCTCCCCGACGACGAGCATTTGGCGGAGATGGGACTCAGACTGGGCGTGACATTTGAAACCGTTCTCGTCCCTGCATTGCTTCTCGCAGACTTGGCAGTACCACCGCAGACGCTGCAGGCCCTTGGCCTTCATCTTGTTGGCGAGGTACTTCGGGGTTCCGACTGGATATGCCGAGTTAGCACTATCCGCGCGATTCGTACAAAGTAACAAAGCTCTTACCTTCTGCGCGCGGCATGATGGGCTGGATACTGTGTGATTAAATCCTAGAGAGGTAGAGTTGGGCCTAGCAGCGGCGGAGAGACGGTGGTCGAGATCGAAGGTGGTGGACTGCTGCTACCACGATTCCGAAGAGCTGCGCTGACAAAGCTTCACAAGTTTCGATCTCCGAATGATGGCTCTTACCTTTGACTTTGTAAATTTGGTACAGACTTCCGGCTATCAGGTGATTTTGATACCATAGTTCATACTCCGATAGCCCTGGTATTTGGCCAGATCTAATCTGCATGTCGCGAACGCGATCTTGGCGAACGCGTCGCGTCTCACTCTCCTCCCTCACCGCGTTCCGCTATACGCACTCAGCGCGGACATGGCTCCGGAACTCAAGCCTATTGACCCCAAGCCACCACGATGGGAGCCTACGTCGGATCCCAACCACATTACTGTCCCTGGTCTCGATACCACCGCGCCGGTTTACGACCAGATTGAGCAGATTGAGCAGCTCATTACGATCAAGTTGCAGGTCCTTTTGCCCACACATATATCGCATATGGAGGTACTGACGCGTGTATCCAGAATATAGACGCGAATTTCTCCAAGATACAACATGTCATGGCGGGCAGGATATTACCTGCGGTGAAACGGTACGGGGTTGGTTCTCAGCCTGTAAGGGAGGCTGCGCAGGTATGTCGTGCGCATAGACAGACTTTTCATCATTTGACGCGGTATGTAGTTTTGGACGACATTCTACGAACAAGCTGCACAGATTCGGATTCCTACCTACGACGACTACAACGCCACCCCGGACCAGGAAGAGGAGTCCGAACAGACGGAAGCCGAGACGGCTTCTGCTGAGCCCTCAACTCACTCAGATACCGAGTCAGAAGCATCCACACCCCAAGCCAATCGTACGTTCAATCCCGACGGCACGTCCTCGGAGGTGTCGTTCGCGCCACAAGCCGCGATTTCGTCCACTCCGGCGACATCCCGTACTCGTTCGCGATCGCGGAATGCCCATGACAGTTACACAAGCCAGGGGTCTGATCCTACCCCATCCTGGACGGCCTCTCTCGAGTCGCCTCTCATGCAACTCAACCGCGACATCCGGAGCCTCTCTGAGGATGCTTCCTTTGGGGTGCCATCTACGAACCACCGCTCTAATGCTTATGATGAATCCGAAGATGTTACGCAGTGCCCGATCCTCCCGGAGGCCGAGTCCCATGAACCGCAGACCGCACGGCCTCGGGAGAAAGGCAAAGGCCGTGAACCTCAACAGCTGTTACAGAACGTGCTACGCAGGAACGCAAACACATCAACAGCCTCGGGATCCAGCGCTGGTAGCCGCCTGACCTCTCCGCTGAAGTTCAAACCTAAGACTCCAGTGCTCAAGACGCTGAATCCGTACCTCCCCCCAGATACAGACCCTTCTGACTGGAAGGGTGTTATCAATCTCTCGGACCCTGCCTCAGCGACGCCTAGACGAACCACAGGCCTGCCCGCCTCTTCTGTCAAGCTGTCGGGGTTCAAACCTTCCGCGACAACCCATACCATCGGACTTGCGCGGGGCAGGACAAAGACGCCGCCCCCATCGGGGGAGGACTCGTTCGACGAGAACTTCGGGATGTCACCGCCCGTGATGACGGACTATGCCAGACTTCCGCAGCTGGGACGCACGCCCAGGAAAGAGGCCGCCGAGAGGATCATGAAGGACCTTCTAGACGTCGAACGACGAGGGGTATTCGCGCCGCCTGGGACAGGTGCCAGACGTAATGTCGGTCCAGGGCAGGCGAGAGGTGGCACGGAAAGTAGTATGAGCACCATTCCGACGCCGCCATCAATGACTCGGTACTCGCGCTCCCCGTACGTACCAGCAGGCTCATCCGAGACTAGCAGCAGCGTGGTGGACCCGAGCCTGGACAGCCTCATGCGCCGCGTGGGCCTCAACGTCCCGGGTTATGGCAACACACTTCCGCCAACCACCTACAGGGCTCCCGCGCCTGAACCCTCACGCGCCCCCGTGTTCAGTAGCCTTTCTTCTGCGTCGTCCCTGCCCTCATTCCACGGCGCCGCCTCCTCCATACGTGCGCCACAGTCCGCCGCGCCCCCACTGGATCCTGTGCAGACGCCGGAACAGCCCCGATACGACGACTTTTACGACGATGAGGTTATCGGACAGGCTGGCGAGATGGACCCGGATTCCTCGAACGATTCCCTCGACTACGACGAGGAAGCGCACAACACCGCGAACCCATCGGCGGCGTTCCTGCTTGCGGCGCAGCGCCCGTCCTTTGAGGACGACGAAGATGACTCGTTCGACTCTTCCATGGGGGACGATGACCCGGGTGACGAGGAAAGCGGTATGGCGCCCATTCATCCGTTCCTGGCAGGCGCCCAGCCATCCGAGGAGGACTCGTTCGACGATGACTCGTTTGACGACGTCGGATACGGACCGGGTGGAGAGGAGGAGACGGTGTTCGGCGTCGCCCCCGCGCAGAGGCTGCAGCAGCAAGCACAACAGGCAGCGCAGTTCAGGATGCTTGGGGAGGACCTCCTGCAGGACACGATCGGGATAGGGTCGCAGATGGCGATGGCGGGGCGAGTGGATGAGAGTCCGACGCCGTGGATCCCCGGCGGCCGCGACTGAGCTGTACTCGCTGGGAACTGTCGACGTCGTGCAGGTTAGCTGACATGTTGTATATACCCCTTGCTTCGCTCTTCGATGTATTCTCTCACTCTGACGGTCTCCGCCCCGCTGGTGCGTTCCCATGGAGGCGTAATCTCATGCGAATATATACGAGTCGATTCGTCATCTCAGGCCTTTTTCCACCCGGCCTTGGGAGCTGGACCAGTACTACTACTCGAGCTCGGAGTCGTCGGGGACCGGGGTCATCTAACGCGTATTGTGTTTGTCACGTGCGTATATTGCTTGGCGCCGCCGGCGCGAATATTCCGATTCGGGGCAGGATGCGCGCCTTGCCGCGTAACGTTGTTCCTCCTGCCTCTACCTTCTCCTCCAACTATCCAACTACATTCTGTGTACTCACGACGTATAACACTGCGGCAGCCATTACTATGTCCACAACTTTAAGCGAGAAAGCCAAGGGCAAACAGCGCGCTGCACCACCACTTGTGCCGGAACAGCTTGTTACAGAACAGCCGCCTGACAGCCCGCCTTCCAAAGACTTGACGATCCGTTTCACGGAGGGTATACCCGACTTGATAGTACAGGTCGCCGAGAAAGACACAGTGAAGGATGTGAAGGACAAGGTATGTCGTGTCGCAATGCTGCACAGTCATGAGCTCACCACTTCGTACAGATTCGCCTTGTCAGGCCAGAGCTCACGGATAGACGCCTCAGGTTTATCCATGCAGGACAGCTACTAGCAGAGAGCACTCCTATCTATGCCCGAATAGCTTCTCTCGAACAACGAAGGCGCGTTTCGGAGAAACGGGGTGATGAGGACGACGATTCGGCGGAGCCGGCGTCAAGCGTGGGCACGACATGGATACATTGCTCTGTCGGACCTCAGTTATCAGAGGGAGAGGACGAAAGCAATTTGCAGGTACGCAACCACTGGGAATATTTTGAGGGAGACCGAAGCTAACGTTTATACCCAGACTGCGCAATTGAAGCCGCTGCGGGGGTTCGACAGGCTGGCGGCTGCGGGGTTCTCGGAAGAGGACATTGCGAACATACGATTGCAATTTCATACCCACTCCGCAAGGGACTATCTGGACCAGGACTTCGACGATCAGGAAGACTGTACGCCGTACCTTGCAATGTCAGGGCCCGGCGATCAGGTACTAACTCTGACATGTCACTATAGACGACGAGCACGCGCGAGTGCTGGAAGAACAGTGGATAGACTCACTCGACGGTGGCAGTAGCAATTCGCAGTCGCAAACGGCAGTGTCATCGCTCCACAACGGAATCGTGCTTGGGTTCTTCTTCCCACTGATACCCTTCTTTTTCTTCCGGAGCAATAAGCCTGCGGTGTTCTGGGACGACGACAGTGAACACCAGACTTTGAGTGCACCAGTGTTCTCGTGAGTTGGTTCCTGCTGAATACCCAAAGTATTTGGTCGCTGACTTAGCTGTGCAGGCGGAAGATGCAGATGGGCATCGTAGTTGGGCTCCTACTGAACGTGTTGTTCGGCCTATGGACGTACCTTCTAGCCTCGTCGTAGTCGAATAAAGCGGCCTGTCTCCACGCGAAAGGTCGGGTATTTGTATGGATCCCGAGCACATCAAGCGCGAGTGCTGGGCCGAAGGTGTGTGCGAAGCTGTACAGTATGACCTGTACACGGCCCCGCTACGCGCGTCTTCAGGCACAACGTCGCGCCGTGTCTCTGGTGAGAGTGCTGCCGTGATGGCGTGGTATTTGTGGGCCCCAACGCGTGCATGGCGGCGCTGTTAGTACGGGGCAGATCGCGGTCCCGCCGTACGGCAGAGCGGGGTGGGCATGCGAATATTACTGTGCTGGTGTTGTCTGATTACCTACTGGGCTTAAGCGGTGACGTCTGTATTATTCATTGTCCCTCGCGCGTGCATAAACGTGCATAGACGACGTCCATGTCGTGGATGAGATTGATGGGCGAAAGCGGAAAGGGCTGATTGTATTTGGGCGCCTAATATGCGATAAAGAGACGCGATCGTATTTGGGCCAACACGCGTTTTGCCACACGCGTCCACCTCCCAAAAATTTTGGAACACGCTTCCTCTCACACTCTCTGTACATATACCCCGCCCTCATACCCTCTCTAAGGTATGCATGTCTCTGGTGTTGTGTGTCGGCTGCGCTGACCCCAAGATTGCTGTGTAGATGGACCCCCAGACTTTAACGAACCTCTTCTCATGCACGTTTAGCCCGGATCCAAATGTCCAGAAGAGGGCTGAACTCGAGATCCGCAAGGTGCGTAGTCGCGTCTTTTCATGCTTGTACTGGTGCTGAAATACATGCGGTATAGCTCGGCGGGGAGGAGGGAATGGTCACGACCGTTCTCCAAATCATCGGGAACGATAACGTCGATCTGTACGTGCCCGACGCGTTCTATGTTTCAGGCATATTGGACTGAACAGAATCATAGCCCCACCCGCCAGGCCGCTGCGGTCTACCTCAAAAATCGCGTGTACTCGTCCTACTTTGTCGATACGGTCGCGCGTCCCGACCAAGCCCCCATCTCCCCCACCGACCGCAACAACCTCAAGATGTCGATCCTACCCCTCATTGCCGCGTCGGCGTCGCGTGCGATTACCGTGCAGCTTGCGGGTGCGCTGAAGAATGTAGTGGCGCGCGATTTCCCGGAGCAGTGGCCGAACCTAGTAGACGATGTCAAGAAGCTCCTCGCGAGTGGCAACGTGAACGAGGTTCACGCGGGATGCGTGACTATCCTCGAGATGGTGAGGGCCTTCAGGTACGTTTTGCACGCGATGTTTCTGCGGTAAGGTGCGCATAAATAACACTTTCATACGTCCAGGTTCCGCCAAAACAACGATGTCTTGCCCAAGCTGGTCGAGGAGTTCTTCCCCACTCTCGTCGACATCGCCTCCCGCGCACTTTCTAACGCTCCCGTCAGCACTAGCCAGGAGGCCCCCACTATTATTCACCTCATCCTGAAGACTTACTCCACGAGCATCATCCTCCACCTAAGTGCCCACCAACAGAGCTCAGACAGCCTTGTGCCCTGGGGTCGTTTCCTCTTCCAGGTTGTGAACTTGCCGATCCCGAAGGAGGCCGTACCCGAAGATGAGGAGGAGCGGGAGCGCAGTGAGTGGTGGAAGGCGAAGAAGTGGGCGTACAAGATCCTCGGCCGCCTCTTCCACCGCTTCGGAAACCCGTCGCAGCTGCCGAGCAGCCTGCAGAAGGACTACGGCCCTTTCGCGCAGCACTTTGTGACCAACTACGCCCCGGAGATCTTCAAGATTTACCTGCAGCAGATCGAGCTGTTCGTGTCCGGCTCCGCGTGGCTGTCGAAGAAGTGCCAGTACAGGATCTTCGCGTACTTCACGGAATGGTATGGGGCTCCGATCACGATCACATGATGGCGTCTGCACTGCTAATGTACCCGTGGATCTACAGCGTAAAGCCGAAGTCTACTTGGGGCCTACTCAAGCCGCATTTCGAGAACTTGGTTTCCTCGTACGTGTTCCCTCAGCTCTCCTTCAACGCCACCAAGCAGGAGCAGTGGACCACGGATCCTATCGAGTTCGTCCGCACGACCGTCGGTGAGCTTAGGACGATCCATATCGAGCCTTTTCAACAGTGCGCTTATGACATGTTCCAGACGAGTTTGAGGCGTTCGACAGCCCTGTTTCCGCCGCTACCTCGTTCCTGTTCTCCCTCGCCAGCAACAGGACGAAGACCACCTTCCTCCCCATCCTCGGTTTCATTAACCGTGTCCTCCAGTCGTGCGTACCCTGTCGTTTTTTCAGGCCTTGTACCATATTCTCAACTACATACAGCAAGCCCGCTGCTCCCCAGCGGTACGGTGCTCTCAACATGACGGCCGCCCTCGGACCGTTCATCATGCGCCACCCCGAAGTTAAGGGTAACATGGAGCAGTTCATGATCCAGAACGTCCTCCCGGAATTCACCGCCACCGAGCCGTACATGCGCGCTGTGGTATGCACACAGCACCATGCGTTCGTTTGTGAGCAAGGCTGATATGCTTCTCACAGGCGAGCGAGGTCTTGGGTACCGTCATCAAGGCTGGCTTCAAGTTCTCGAACGAGCAGGTGCAGACGCTTCATTAATGCATCACAGGATAGGTGCTGATTAAATCCCCTGTAGCACTTGCATCAGCACTTCACCGCTGTCGCTGCTGCGATCGACAACCCGGAGCTGCCCGTCCGCGTACACGCCTGCTTGGCTCTCACTGAGATGGTCACTGACTCGCCGACTGGTAAGTTTACGTCGATGGCATGCTGATGGGAGTTTACTAACTCTACATCAGTCAAGACCGCTGTCGCTCCTCAGGTCGGCAAGGTCATTCAGAGTGAGTTGCAATATTTGTCTATCCACGGATGAACTGCTAACCTTTCATCATGAATCCAGCCCTTCTCAAGCTGTCGGAAGAGACCGACCTCGACATTCTCAACCACTGCATGGAGAGCATGGTCGACACCTACCAGACCGAGCTACTCCCCGTCGCCGCTGAGCTCACTGCCCGTCTGGTGAGTGCTTGCGTTCCTTCACTCCAGTGCTTTATATCTGACCTAGTTTTTTTTTTTTTTTACAGTGCGAGACCTACGCACGCCTTGCGAAGGAGAGTCAGACCGCCGACGAGACTGAGGGCATCGACCTTGACTCCATCATGGAGGGCGACGCGAACGAGGACAAGACGTTCGCCGCCATGGGTGTTGCGAAGACGATCAGCACGGTCGTGAACGCCGTTGACTCCTCCCCCGAGATCCTTGCGCAGATCCAGGAGATCATCATCCCCATCGTCGTGCTGACGCTCGAGAACAAGCTGCTCGACCTGCTCGACAACATGTACGACCTCGTGGACGCGCTCACGTACAAGCTCCGCAGCATCTCGCCCAACATGTGGCCGGTGTTCGAGCTCACGTACAAGCTCTTCAAGGCTGACGCTGTCGATTTCCTCGATGGTGAGTGGTTGCGCGTGTATTCCTGTAAGACGTGTAATCAATGCGTGATTCCTGCAGAGATGCTGCCCTCGCTCGACAACTTCGTGTCGTTCGGCACGGAGATGTTCAAGGCTCGCGCCGACTACAGGCAGATGGTGCTCGACATCTACCAGACCTCCATCACTAGCGACCACCTCGGCGAGAACGACGCCGTCAACGGCTGCAAGCTCGCCGAATCGATCCTGCTCAACCTCCGTGGCTGCGCTGACGACGTAAGTTGCCCTCACGCCAATCCAAGCGCTCCCACTAACGTACCCGGAACTTCAGGCTCTTCAACCGATTGTGGCCACCGCCTACTCCATCGTGAACAAGACGAACACGAAGGCGCTCCAGGTCGCGAACAACAACGTCCTCGTCAACGCGATCCTGTACAACCCCGCCGCGACGCTGCAGTTCCTCGAGCAGGTCGGGCCCGGCTCCGCGCGCACGTTCTTCGATGAGTGGTTCGCGGCTATTGCTGCGCCGTCGCGCCTTCCGCGCGTGCACGACAAGAAGCTGAGCATCATGGCTCTCTGCGCGCTCATGGAGATGGACCCCGCGGGCGTGCCCGCGTCGATCCAGGACGGGTTCCACAACATTGTTGCGGGCGCGTTGCAGCTCTTCCAGGAATACCCCAAGGCCGTGCAAGGTTAGTCCATTTAGCTTCGAGGGCTGCGCAAGGCACTGACGGCTGCTTTGCAGCACGCAAGGAGCTCGAGGAGGCGTTCCAGAACGACTCCGATGATGAAGGCGAGGAGGACGACTCCAAGTACCTCAACATGAACGAGGAGGATGGTGAGTCCCGCTGTCCAGCCACAACCCGTTTCCGTATACTGATCGGTTTCGCTCAGATGACGTCTGGGATGAGGACTCCGCGTACGTCGAGATGCTCGCGAACGAGGGCCAGCGCCTCCGCGAGAAGTCAGCCAAGGCTGAGACTGGAGAGGACTTCTCTGACGACGAGGAAGAGGACGATATCGACGAGGAGCTCGGCTACATCAGCCCTCTCGATAACGCTGACCCCTACGTCTCCTTCAAGCAGGCGTTGACCAGTACGTGTCCGCGCCGAAATTTGCTAGGACAGCCGTTAACCTCGATCGTTGTAGGCTTCCAGATGAAGAACTCCCAGGGCTACCAGCTGGCGACGACCTCGCTCTCTCCCGACCTGCAGACGTTCCTCATGGAGGTGATGCGCCTCGCTGAGGAGCACGCCGCGCAACCCGCCGCGTCGTAGACGTAGACGTGCCCCATCTCTCCCTCCTCTGCTCGCATTGACGCTGATCTCATCGCTCTCGCTCTCGATATCATACATCTTACCAGAGTGTTTCTAATCTCTCGCACGCATGGGGCCGCACGGAATGACAGAACGAACCACATGAATATCGCATTGCTATACTTCAGAGTAGTAGCAGTAGTTGTACAGGCGAGTGCTACAGAATGACGATGATGACCGCTACGACGTGTACCATACAAAGGCCGGCCACGTGCTCCACCGGGCAGTCTAGTTGAGGGGCTCGCGAGGGTGCTTCCGCATATTCTTGAGGTAGTCTTCCTCGCTCTCGAGGCTCCACTCGAGCGGCATGGTGAGTGGGTTGAAGCTGACGCCCTTGGCCTCGATCTCGGCCAGACGGGCGGCGGTGGCGGGTTTCGACTTGTTGACACTGTAGATCTTGATGCGGTGGCAAGATGAGGTGACGTGCAAATCCCAGCTGTAGACGGCAGTCAGAAAAGCTTCGCGGGAGCATGGAAAGTGAGTGGGTCCATACTTCCACGCCGAGCGGACAAACGTAGGCTCAGTGTTGTTGGAGGAATCCCACGACCGGACGCAAAACTCGAGCCAACCCTCGGCGTCGACCGGCAGCTCGATCTTCCAGAGTCGCCAGGCGTGGTAGTGCTGCAACGAGACGTCAGAGCATGTTACGGGCAGGAGACCTTATCGTTTACCTTCTCCGTCATGTTGTCCTGGTCGACAGCGTACCAGACATGGCCGCTACGACGGAGAGCTTATTGAGCCACCCACCGCCGGCGAGGCGCAATGGTCAAACCTACCCATCGTTGGAAACTTCCACCCTCTCGACCCAGTTGCCGCCGCCGCTATAGGACCAGCCTTGAAGCGCGATCTTGCCCTCATGGATCACGACTTGCTTGTCTGTGGGGAATATGATGGCGCTCCTGCAAAGCCGCAAGTTTGAGCACCCGCGAGCGAGTAGAGTAGGGGGAGTCACATACGAGACAGGCATGTTCTGGATAGAGAACCCATTGGAGTACTTGGCGTTCTGCTTGCCGATCTAGCCACAGCAGCTCTTTCAATTGCATCCTGAACGCTGAACCTCTCGAACGGACGTACCTGCTGGGTGAAGTACAAGTACTCCTGGGCCTGGACTGGGGCCATGCTCGGTTCGGCAATTGCGTTGATCTTGTACAGCCATTTCGTGCTCCTGGCGCCGATGTAGCCAGTGACCACGGCGCGCAGTGGGAAACCATGGATCTTGGGAAGTGGCTTGCCGTTCATCTCCCAGGCGAGGAGCACCTCCTCGTTTGCCCGGACCTTGCGGTACGGGACAGAGACGGCATAGTTGAACACATGGCCCTTCCTATACACAGCGAGGCGGCAATCTAGGCCAATCGTGGAAAGAAGAGTGATAGAAAGCACGCACTTGAAGTACGTGTCTGCGCCGACGAACTCGAGGTGCTTGCATTCGGGGAGAACGCCGCCACACGCGCGCTTGAGCACTTTCTTGAGGGGCACGCCTCGGTAGACAGCCGTGCCACTAGTGATATCTACGTCAGCTCTACTCGTATGCCGAGAATGGCGGTTACACCGTACATTGCACCTTCTCCCCAAGGCTGGATGTATCATGTTAACATGACTCTACGTGCTGACATACGGAGCCACTCACAGCGTTGATCAGCTCGTCTCCTTCACCGGGGTATTCCTGGATCTGCTCGATACGGCGCGTGCCGCTGCACTGGATAGTCACAGTGACCTCTTCTTGCCTGAGGATCGCGGCATGCGGTTAAATGTCAATACGGGTAGGCAATGTGTTCGACACCTACGGGAACTTCGATGGGTCCTTCAGGTCCTTCATGCTGATTTTGACCGGCGTGTTGACGAGACCGCCGATCTCGAGCTCAAACGCATCTTCTTCGATATCCGGGACGCCGCCGTGATTGCGTACACTGGGTTTGTACGATGAGCAGTGAGCCCCCAAAGCATCTCGCGCCTCACCCGATACTCACAAATGCCACTTGTTGTCGGTGATCTTGCCGCTGACGAGTTCTGGGCGGGGTGTTTCGCCATTGTAAGGAAAGTCGAGCAGGTGGATCATGCCCGGCTTCTCCTTCTGCACAGTCTCCCAGCTAAAGTCGACGATACTCTTCAGCCCGAGCGCCTCATGGTACTCCTTCCAGCGATGCCCGACCAGGATTGGGTTCGTCTTCGGGAGGGGCACAAATTGGAACTCTGTCGACGGCGCGGGGGCCAAGTCAGCGTCATGACTCGGACTTCGGGATGCACACGATGTGCGCCGCATACCTGGGATCGGGGTGAACTTCTTCGTCTTCAGAATCTCGGATGCGATTTGCTTGCGCTCCGGCTTGTCCTCCCACTCGACATATCTGTAGCAAAGGCACCGGTGTTGAGCACTGTGTACGACCTCGTGATGCCTCTATGCGACCATACCCGCGCCATCCTAGTTTCTCCTGAGGGAAAAGCTCGCTGAGGGGGACCCCGTTGTAAGTCTCCATAGTAAACTCGGTCATCGCGGCGGACGTGTTGTGTTTAGCAAGTGTAGTAGAGAGAGGAGGTTATGTGGGATGGCCGCAAGCAATGCTTATATCTATCGCATCGATGACCGCATGTGCATGCGAAACGGACGACGTGAGGGCAAGACGATTGCTGGGGCCTCACCGTAAAAAGGTTCGCATTCTACCCGCAAATGACCGTCGACATCGAAGCCCTCCCCGTGGCGTCTTCGGAGGACAGCGACCAATCGCGTACTGATCGTGACCAGCGATAGGAAGTCGCGCAGGTCACCCGGACCCGTTCACGATGAACCTACCAGGCAAATGTACCCAGGCTGTCGCATCGCAAAGGTTGCCTGCCAGAGCTTCCACCCAATCAGTTCGCAAGAGAGTATACAGATACGCACCTTCAATCAGGCCGCATAACCTACACGCTGGTTTTTCCGATGACCAAGAGCAGATAGAAGTACACAATATTGTCCCCGGAGCGTGACGCAAAAATACAAATAAAACAAACCGTACTCTGCCGAGCGCGCTCACGCCGAAGGAGCATCGTCGGAGAGGATCCCTCGCGCCCACGCCGCGTCGCCGATAACGCGCTCTGCGAAAAAGGCACCGAGATGGCTGCGCAGGTCCTCTATCACCGACGCGTCCGCGCCCGAGTCCGCGTTCAGCGGCACGGGCTGCCTCGACGGTGAGTGTATCAACCTAAAGCCCTCCTGTTTGACCCGGTCCGTCTACAGTAAGTGCTTGTTCCGAATGGGTGTATGCGGGGCACGTACCATCACGAGCTCGACGAGCGAACTGGACTCCCCAGGCATGCAGTCGTCCCCTATTATCTTCGCGCCGTGGTGCTTGACCAGGCCCTGCCTGACGGCTTCTTTGCCAATTCCCATGAGACCGCGAATGGCACCCTCACGTGTCGACCTGCTCTTCCCCTCACCGATGAGACCGACAATCAGGGTTTTGACTATACGTGATGACAGCCCTGGGTATGTCGTCGAGTAGTGGGTGAGAAGGTGGGAGAGGATTTGCGCGGCCGTGTTACGCAGGTGGGCGGCATGTGACGGAGGAAGAGCGGAGTGCAAGAGGATGGAAAATATAGACGGCAGGAGTTGATGGAGCTGCAATGTCGCGTCAATACCGTGGTCGCTGTCCATTTAGACTGGTCCCGCTCACATATGGCTCAACACCGAGGGTCTGGTTGTCTAACAGAGCGCCTATGACGTCCAGCAATACGTCGAGAACTTTGCCGTCGGTCTCGTTCTGTGATCCGCTTCGAAGCGCATCTACGACGCCTTGTCCTACCCATCGGACCAGATACGGCAGAAGGGGGGAAAGACCTGCATCATGTCGCAAACTCGCTAGTGCAGCCGCGCGTTTTGCAAAGTCGGAAGAGGGTGGTAACAACGATGACGTGAGGCGCGTGTAATATAGCTGGAGCTCGCGCGAGAGCACCTGCTTGACTGCGATGTGTTGCTGTGGTTGCTGTTTCGAGGCCTGTATTGGCGACGGGCGGTCTGAAGAGGGTGGCGTTGGAGGGAATATGGAGCCAGATGCGCTTGTGGACAGCCCTTGCTTCGCGGCTGCGCTCTCGGGGTCGATATCTCTTGGGACTGCTGGCGGATTCTCTGGTATGAGCGGCTGCACGCCTTCCACGGCTAGCCAGTGCGCGGTCCATGTTACGCCCTTCGGCAGGGTGACCTTTTCCTCCCGAAGAGCACGGTCGAACTCAATCTCCTCGTCCTCAATGAAGTAGACAGGACCTGCTGACGGCATTTGTGGAAAGGGGAGGGCACGACGGAAAGTTGGAGGGTTATACGGGAAGTGGCCGTATAGCGGTTCGATGTTAAGCACCCGTAGTGCTTGGTCGACGTCTGCGGTGGTCAGTGTTGTGCGTTTCGCGTGTCGCATAAAACGAGCAGCTTCCTGTACGCCGGCTGAGAGAGGGCCGCGCAGAGAGGTGGTTCACGCGTACCTCGACCACCTGGGATATCCGGTACTCCACATCACTGGCCAAAGCAGAGGCTACCACGTCCGGCAAGTTGGTAATGTTCAGAGATTCCGCCACATCCTGAATTCTGTCAGGTAACGCGTCGAGGAGTTAAATGCTGCCTCTTACCCGCACGGAGTCCGTCTTGTAGATCCCGGGTACCTTTGTAGGCGCGGACCTGCTTTTGGGTGCTTGCTTGCTCATTTCTGCGCTGAATCTCCGTAAAGTGGTGTGCAACTTATCCAGCAAGGAGATGATGGAAGGCAACTGGGGATGTGGAGAAGAGGGCGGCGGTATGTACGGAGGAGGCTGAGGGAGGAAACAAGCCACGCTCCGAGTCCGAGTACACGAACCAAGACAAGCGCCCATTTCGATCGGGCGTTCATTCCGGCCCGGGCAGACCGCAAGACCGTCGGACTGCGCGAATCCCGCGGGCAACTCTTCCCGAACGCTCTACCACCAAGCACCCTTTCCCGGATTCGGAGGTCTCTGGTACATCCATTCTGCGTTGGTGGAGGTGAGTGTGCCATATAATCGCACAATAGCACCTTTCACACAAGTCAGAAACATTCAGAAGTCTATTCAAGCCCGCACTCGGAATGGCGAAGCTCGGAGACCTTCCCATCGAAGTTCTCGAGCAAATCCTCCTCGTCCTTGATCCCATAGACGTCGCACAGTTCGTACAAACATGCTCAGCGTACCGCTTCTTGCTCTACGGTGGCCCCGATAACCAGCACTTGTGGCGCGAGCTATATCTGAGGCAACCCTTCGACGACTTAAGGCAATGCTACACGCCGCTGGGAAGACCTCTACAGGAGATAGACTGGAGGTCACAGCTGCAGCGTGTTATGCGGGCACGAGCCGTCCTTACGAAGGATTCCACATGTCGCCCCGAGGAGCGCTGCGACGTTCTCCAGACTCTGATCGACATGGTCACCCACATCCCCCCAGTGACGCATCCAGAGGGGATCGAGCCCTCCATGAACCATGTCTGGGCGACCGCTATGCTCCGTGGCAGCACGCTCATCGAACACGAGGAGCGGGAGCTCTCCCCGGAGGAACAGCAGCTCCGCGCACGCCTACACACGTACTTCGGGCTCAACGCGCATGATTTTGAACCGAAGAAGCATACGGCGTCCCGCGCGTTCGTGTATGCGATGCGGAACTACAGGTACGACAACGACTTTGGGCCGTTTATGATGGACGGCAGCGGGCGCGTTAACTGGGTGCACCTCCGCGCGGTCCACCATGTGATGTCGATGCACATCGTCCCCGATATGGAGGAAGCGGCGACGGCGGTGTTCAACATATACCCCATGAGCATGCCGTGCACGCAGAGCATCATTCCGAACGGCATCAATCTGGACGAGGAACAGGATTGGGCAGGAGTGGAGGGCAAATGGCAATGTTCGTTCTGTTTCGTGGATCATAGGGAATTGCTGAGTACGTGCTATCTCCTGTTCCCCCAAGTTCACATGGCTGACCGGCCGATTCAGTTTACAACAACTTCAACGTGCGTGCGGTTCGGTTAATTGGGGCATACTTTCGTATGCTGAGTGCGCCACCTATGCTATAGGCATCTGAATCCGAGCCCCTACAGACGGATATTTTCGAGGACCCAGACTTCGTCGAAGTTTTCCGCTCAATCTATGTCGAGCTGCGCATCCTGGGAACGGAACCAGACCCAGACCACCCTGGTCGACCTCGTATCAACTTTGGCGGCTCGCTGGACGGACACGCGATATTCGTCGGCAGTGTCAAGGTCACGCCCGATGACCAGATTCGTTGGCGTTTCGTAAGTATAATTACATTCCCGCAGCGAACGGGACCGTTACTAACAGGCGCTACTATGCAGACCTCCGGAGAGCAGGGTAACGCTATCTGGAGGTCAGTTGCACCAACTTCGTATCTGTTTGGCGGCATGATTTGCTGAACTACCCGCTGTGCCGCCAGCTCCGAGGGTGTACAGGTCGGCAATGTGAGGTCAAAGTTTGGTATTCTGGGTTCCTGGACGACCGTTTTACACGATAGACACGATCCAGTTGGTACGTCGTGGCTCAGCCGACATACTTGTCCGTGCATTGCGAGCTGATCGAATGCGTCCGCAGGGCCGTTTTGGTTGTGGAAGGTCGGGGAAATCACTAACGACACTCCTGTATAAACACGAGGAAGGGTCGAAGTTTGTTTTGTTCAACGTCATCAAATTCACGAATGCGTGCTTAATATAACATCTCTCAGGCTTAGCGTGCAGCTGTGATATCTAGTGCCATATCTATTCTATATATCGGCACGAACGATATACCCATTATCCGGCATCTGGTAAGTAGCGTACAGTCGCTACGCCGATTTTCGCGACGCTTCACCGCTCTTCACCTCGTAACTCATGCCCCAGCACGAAGCCGAACCAAGGCGTATTCTTTTGTTGCGTCTCATTCAAGGTCTTCTGCTGTTCGGAAGGACGCCCTGCTTTCTTGTCGCTCGTATCGCCCATCTCGTGCATCGTTCTGCTCCTTACTGGTTTCGACACCCGCCTCGTATGCTCGGCCGATGACGGTTAAACTATGGAGAGCCGCGTTCTGTGAGGTGCCGCCCGCGCGTATGACTGCTAGCTACCGCCCGCGAGGTCGCTACCATTTCTTTTACTTTGTTCAGCAGGGTATATCCGCGCGGTCCAAGCCAAGCGATGCAAAGAGCTGATAACACAGTGGATAGATACTAGCGATACAAAACAAGGTGCGTACACTAGTGCAACTACGAGCGAGAAATTCAAACTTATGCCATAAACCAGAGCGAAGGAAAGCCCGGGGAGGGAGTATCCTATCAGTACACACAACAGTAAGGTCCGAGAACGAAGCTAGAAAGCTGTCCATATGTGGTCCCGACGAACAAGGGGCTCGAGCATCCTCAAGCTCGCTGCTTCGAACGCTTCGAGGATACCCGAGGCTTCGAGGTCTTCCGGAGCTTCGTGGACGGCGAGGCCTTGTTCGACATCTTGTGGCCATGACCGACGCATACGTGGCTATTCTGGAGATGGCGCAACAGCGCGTCGCGGCGAGCAAAGATCTTCCCGCATCCTCCGACCATCCGCACGCCGCCTACATCCATGCCCGGGGCGTCCGGCGCGACGCCATAGTCGAAGGCCTGGGCGAACGTAACGCCGACGCACCGCCTGCGTACGGAGTCGCCCGTCGCCGCCCGACAGTGGGTCTCGAGATGCCGGTCCCAATCTGTTGGGAGAGTCGGGCGCGGCGTGTTGCACCAGGGACATTGCTGGCGCCACCCGAATGTCGGCTGCTCTGCCCGCCATTCTTCCACCGACACTTGCGCATTGCGCGGTTTGTGGGAAGAAGCACAAGAAGTCGCGCTCGACGCGTCGGACGTGAGCGAGGAGGCGCGGGGAGGATCGAAGGTTGCCCGGGGAGTCACTTCGCGCGTAGCGGGCGTCTGAAGTGGTGGTAGCGCAAGCGCAGCGGGCGCAATGCACGAGACTTGCGAGTGATGGCTAGGGAGATGTCCTGTGGAGGTGTCCAGGGGCGAAGACATGGCACCTTCATCTAGCGCAGCGGCCGTGTGCGCCCCGAAGGTATAGGTCCTGAGAAAGCGTTCAGGGCCTGGCCCAGCGCTGGGGAGTTCGGGGGTGTGAGGGCCCGTCAGGCCCAAGTCGAAGTAGGAAGGCGATCCCGAGCCACTATGATGCAGGTGTCAGATATGGGGTCGTGCTCGGCAATGTAAACATACCTTGGACCGTCGTACGTGCCCAACTGAATGAATTGGTCATACCAATGGTACTCATAGTCAAGAAAAAGACCCTTCGACTTGGTGGGGGTGTTTCTCTTAGCTAGACAAGGCGAGTATGGGGGGAGCGAAAGAGGCTCGAAGCTGCAATCGGTAGACATCTCGGAGGGCGCTGAATGACAACGATGAGGTCTGCCTAGCCCGCGCCTGTGCTCCTCTTATACGGGAGAGGCGGGGACCACGTCCTTTGTCACTGCCAGGACAGCGGAGGCGGCGGAGGGTCCTGTGTCGACCGACATCCTCAGCGGTGAGCACAACGGAAGAGTCGCTTAGGAATTCGGGAGAATCCTGGTCACTCATAGCGGTTCGACTGGTGAGACTTGAGACAGTTTGGACAATGGAAGCTGCGTGGAAGGCTCATCTGTAATCCAGACATCAAACTTGACAAACGATCTAGTTTGCAGGGAGAAAGCGAGAGAGACCGTGAGCCTCCATATGCCCACGTTGCACCCACGCGCCGCCGGTTTGATCACGCCACCCGGTACGGAGGGGCCTGCAGCGAACTCCCGGACAGCAATCGTATCATCGACTGCGAGAGGTCCCAGGCATCATTAGCAATCAGAAGGGCGCACTGCACCAACCTCTTCCGAAGCATGAATCTGGTATCCTCTGCAAGAAGAGGAGATTGGATGGAACAGATCATGAAATTGCTTTAACCTATGGTACACTGGGCCGTCAATTCGAATGGAGTAGTTTAGATGGGAACGATACTGCTGGGCTAGTCCTCCGTGATTCCTTTGTGTTCGCTGTCCGTTCAAGCCTCCAAAACTCTGAATATCTAGACACGAGGCTCCTGTCAGTGCACTGCCCGGGGGCAGAAATGACATCAGCGATTTGCTCACCTTAACCGATCCGCTCTTCAAGTCCTCCAGCCGATAGCTCGCAGACTCGACGCTCTGCTGCCCAACGTGCTGATTCGCCTGGAACACCCTGACCTTCGATTTCTTCGTCTCAAAGTCCCCAATGACCGCGACCAGGGGCTGTCCGACGCCCACATTCTGGTGATAGCTCTGCAGACCTTTATGTCCTTTGAACTTCGCCTCGTGTGCCACCAGAATATCTCCGGGCATGATGTCGCTCACACGCCGTTGCACTGCGGCGGCCGTCTGGTGGTACACAAGGTAACCAAAGGACTCGAACGGCGGGGTCGGCTGAGCCGCGTTGGGAACCTGACCGAGGGCCGCAGTGACGAACCCGATGTAAGAGCCGTCGCCTACGACTCCTTTCTTTGACCTCTCGAACAAAGCAGCGGCGATCTCGTGGATCTGGACGCCCACGCGACCCCAGTGACCCATTAGGTCCTCCGGCGACAGGTGCTGCTCGGCGGGCGGCTGAGTCGCGGGTGCGCTGCTCGTCTGTTGTTGAAGAGGCGCAGGTGGAGCCGCCGCCGAGGGCCTGCCGGGTGGCACAGGGGGGTAGTTTGTCGAGTCCTCGGACCACTGGGCAGACAAAGAAAGATCGGTCTCGCCGCCGAAGTCCACGTCGGGGATGACAGGCTCCTCCCACTGAGCGTCGGACGTTTGCGGCGCGGGAGGTGGAGGGGGGACTGGCGCACCGCGAGGGGGAGGCCTGGCGGCCCGAGACGGGTGTGGCGGCGCGGACTCTTCTGCACTCTGGCCTTGATCGACGATGACGAAGTCGCCATGGGACTCGCGAGTGGTAGGCGTAGGTCTTGAAGGTGGAGGGGGAGGATAGGTGAACGCAGGGGGAGGCGGGGGGCGCGACCTGGGCACAGGTGGTGGTGAAGCAAGAGAAGGAGGAGAAAGCGGGCGCGCTTGCGGGACGGGAGGGGGACCAGTAGATACGCGACGTGCCCCGCGGTCGGGTACGGCAGGCGGGGGCGCCTCCTCCTCCGCGTCGGTATATGTTACCTCTTCGAGCTCGCTTTCTTCGTGGGCGACGCGCTCACTGTCCGACACGTGCTGGTAGTCCGACTCCTCCTCGTGCTCATCGTTGCGCGCTGGGGGTGGTGGGGGCGGGGGGACGGGCGCAAAACGCTTCGGAGGCGGGGACTTCACCTGCGAGGCTTCGTCTTCTGACTCCCTGCGCACAGGCGCGCGAGCAGGAGGGCCCATGCCAGGTATCATCCCAAACCTCTGACCGCCCATGCCAGCGATCCGAGCGGCAATGCGCTGCTTGCGAGCGAACTCGTCCTCTTCTTCAACCGGGGCAACCTCTCCCTCTTCCTCCTCAGCGGGCTTATCGGATTCCTCTCGTTCGTCGCCTTCACCCCCTTCCTCATGTTCGGACTCCGGGGGATGCGGGGGACGGCGAGCAGCCGGCACAGGGGGCGGGGCACCAAACCTAATACCGCCCAGCTTCGCCATCCTCTCCGCAATGGTGCGACGGCGAGCGAGCTCAGGGTTCTCACCATCTTCTTGGTCTGCAGCCTCCGAGTGTTCTGGCTGTGATGCGGGGCTTGTAACTTCGGGAGGGGATACGACCCTAGCTGGGGGAGGAGGCGGTGAGACCACCCATTGAAATGGTGGGGGTGGCGGGGGAGACAGAACCCGCTGAGGCGGCGGGGAGACCACTCGAGCGGGTGGCGGAGGAGGCGGGGAGACCACGCGAGCAGAAGGTGACTGTAAGGTGGAGGGGAACCCTGCCCTAGGATCTAACCCCGGAGACTTGGGGCTGTAGAACTCGGGATCGATGGGGTCTTATATACGCACCGTCATCAGCCACTCATTTTCTACAAATGAACGAACAATGCATGCACTCACCAACGTCGGAATCGTTCAGGACCTCACCCTCTTCATCAGCTTCAGGCGAGGGTGCCCTGATTGGGGGTGGGACAGGTCTGTTCAACGCTGCGGCGGAGACAGGGGGAGAGGTAGGTATCGCATGACGAGGGGGAGGGGGAGGAGGTGCAGGCTCCTCATCCTCCTGTTCCGGCTCTTCATATTCCGACACGTCTTCCTCTTTATCCTCGCCATGTGGCAGCGCGTGGGTTGGTGGGGGAGGTACCTGGATCGACGCGCGACGAGGGGGAGGCGGCGGAGGCGGAGCCTCGAAGTCGTCCTCGTCTTCCTCCTGCTCATCATTGTCGGCCTGGGCCGGGAGCGGCGGTGCGGGCACCGCTGCACGTCGTGGAGGCGGCGGCGGTGCCCTTTCGACTTCAGGCTCTTCCTCTTCCTTTGTCGAGTGCTCATCATATCCACCGTGCTCGTGCTCATCTTGGTAGTACTCATCCTCGTGCAGCTGGTCTTCGTGTTCATCCTCGTCATGCTCAAGCCCAATTTCACGTGCGTGTCTCGCATATTCCTCATCCCCGAAGTCAGGTGAGGCTACGCGCTCATCTTCGTCGACGTCCTCCTCGGACGGTGCCGCGGGGGGCGCCGTGATGACCCTCGGCGGCGGGGGCGGAAGGGACACTCTCTTTGGCGGTGGGGGTATGACCTGCCTCGCCGGAGGAGGTGGGGAAGCAACAGGCGGCGGAGGGGCAGCCTCTTCCTCCGCGGACTCCCGCGCCTGTGTGGGAGGCAGCGTCGGGAGTGGTCTGGGAACGCGAGGCGGGGGTGGAGGCACCTCGCGCTCTCCGTACCCCTCAGCAGCGTGCTCGGGCACCTCTTGCCTTTCACGCGCGATCCGATAATCGTCCGCGCCGTCGTGAGCCTCGCCATACTCCTCCTCATTTGCGAGGGAGTGCACGGCCTCATGCTCGGCACGTGGCACTGCTTCTTCGTCTTCAGGTGCTTCGCCGAGGACGTCTTCATATGCGGGGGCACTCCGCTCCAGGGACCGCCCCCGCACCTCCTCTTCCTCGTCCTCCTCGGCGATAGCGTCACCGTCATCGCTCACAGCACGCTGATCTATAGAAGCACTTGATCAATACTCTACTCATACACGCACGCACGCCGCCCATGGCGGGAGATTTAGTTACCATCCAGAGAGGCCTCCTTCAACGGGGACCCCAGCCCAGTTTCAGCACGCACCGATCCAACACTGTCCTTCCGCGCCGGCGGCTTCGGGGACGTCGGGAGAAGCGGGGGAGATTGCAGCGACGCTGTGTCTTGCTGGCTGTCACGGCGGACGGGTTGCGACGGCGGAGACGCGATGGGCGAGCGAACGGAGCCCGTACTGTCCTTGCGGACGGGTGGAGGCATGCCTCCGCTAAATGGATTGAAGCCGCCGGACTTTGCGATCCGGTCAGCAATCCGTTTGCGACGCGCCGCCTCGTCTTCCTCCTCTTCGGGCTCTTCGACGGGCTTCTCGGCAGAAGTAGCGACTTCAGACGGACTGTCCTCATGCTTGAGCTCTTCGACAGCGGGAGTTTCCTCGTGCTCGGGTTCCTCGACAATAGACGTTTCCTCCTGTTCCTCGGTAACATCCTCCTTTGGGTCGTGGACAACCGGTTCTGCGGCAGATTCGGTAGCATGTTCCTCCTCAGCAGCTTCGTGCGCGGAAGGTGTCTCCGTATCGGCTGCAGCCTCGACGGCCTCGTGCTCGTGAGTAGGTTCGGCCACAGGAACGTTCTCTTCCAACTTCTCAGCCTGTACTTCGGTCAGCTCGGGCTCGCGATCGCCGTGGGGGCCCTCTGTAGCGCTGGGCTCTTCGTCCTTCTCGGCGGGCGCTGCAGATTCGTCGGTAGACGGGAGCGCCGCCGGGCTCTCGTGTAGCTCCTGACTAATGACCGGCGCGGCGGGCGAAGGCGACTTGCCTGCCCGTTTGCGCGGAGGGGCAGCGCGTCTGGGCACTTGGGGGACTGGCATTGCAGGAGAACGAACAGGCGGCGAGGTGACCGCGGAGTCGGGGGAGAGCGTATCGGATGTCGCAGAATCCTTCTTAGCAGCATCGAAGTAGTCTGTCGACGGCCATCTATGTCAATTAAGCCTCACAACGTTGATTTCATGATACATACCGGTGGGGCCTGCACTTCCGCCCTCCGCGGTGGACGCGGGCTCAACCACCGCAGGCACTACGCGACCAATTAGTGGATGTTCCATGCGTATCCTATCCTGCCATGCTCACCATCGGAACCCTCGGCAGTGGGTGACGCTTCGGCTGGCTTCTCCTTGAGTTGTTCCTCCTTAGGCTGCTCCTCTTCCTTGTGTACTTTCTTGGGCGGAACATCTGGTTTCTTGCCAAAGATCGGCGGGCCCATGCCAACCCTCGCGCCCCCAAGACGCGCCATCCTCGCCGCCAATGCTGCCCTGCGTTGCCTCTCCTCTTCCTGGGGGTCCGGCTCTCCCTCATCCTTCGTTTCTTGCTCATTGTCCTTCGTCTCGCTTGCCTCTTCCGGCGACTTGGGCTCATCTGTATCCTCGCGTTCGGCCTTGACCTCCGCCGGCTTATCCTCCTCATCGTCGCCGCCGATTGGCTCGACCCTTTGCACTACAGGGGGCGGCTTCCACTTCGGCTTCTCGCCCGACGGACGTGGGGGCGGGGCTGCAGCAGCGCCGCCGGGTCCGCTAAAGCCGCCCGAGCCCTGGAGCGCAGCCATGCGTTCCTTGAGGGAGAGCTTCCCGATAGACTCCTTCGCGTCCGTAGCGGACATCCCGGCAGCCTTGCGGGCCTCTGCGCTGTCATCGTGGCCGCTGCTGCTGGCCTTGGGCGACGTGGGCGGGGAGAGGGGCTTGGGCGTCCAGTTGATGTGTACGGGCTTGGGGCGCGGTGCGGGTGCGGGTGCTGGTGCGGGCGCGGAGCCCTTGTTCTCGAAGGCGGCGATGCGGTCGCGCAGCGAGCCGACCTTCTTCGGCGGTGGGTCTGACATGGTGGTGGATGAGAAAGGTGCGCTCAGCGCCGCTGCTGCGAAGAGGTCGTAACGATGCTCGCAGCTCGGGCGCCAAGACGCGTCTCCCGGATATAGACGCCCATAGGTATAAGATTGTACTAGCAACAGGCGCAGCTCGTTCTGACATAAATAAATAAAGCTTGGGACATCTTTGAGGACCGCCACCCAGCGAGGAGGCATTGTAGTACGATGTGAGAGAAAAGCACCGTTCAGTATACCGGTACATATGCACGATTATGGGGCTACGGGTACCGTATACGTAATACGCGACGATTTCGAAGTGCGCATGCACTTTGCTCCGTCGACGAGCAAAGGACGTCTCCTCCCGATACAGATGCGAAATTACGGTCAGAGCTTGCCCTTAGGGGCCGTGCCGTCCATCTGAAATGCGATCATTTCTGACATGCAAATCAACGCCGAAAACCAAGATAGAACCAGGATACAACTGACCTCGCAAAGCAGGGCCATATCTCTTTAACATCCTGGCGGAGCAGTGAACCCGGGGAAACATGTAGCGTAGTTTCGGCTCAACGTACTTGATATGTGTCGGGTGCTTCAGGTAGGCTCTGAACGTTCAACCGATGCTGATGAGTATCCATTTGTCCATGGCCTAGGTTCGTTCAGGTTACACACCTGAAGTCGTCAAAGCTGTCGAACTTGATAGACAGCACTGCAAAGTAAACAGATACCTGTAAGTGACTACATGTAGTGTCCAGGCTGAAAAGACGTCTCACTGATGGTATATCCTCCTGTACTGGTGAGATCGATTGGGGGCCCGACCCGGACCTCTTGCTTGGGGATAGGAATGTCCGCCATCATCCCGTGGATTTGTTGGTAGGCTTCTTCCCTGGTCCCCTGCAGGCGGGATTCGTCGAGCTTCGCCAGTGCTGAGCTCGTCGGACAACTCCTATGAGAACCGGTCGACAGTGCCGAGGCGGGGCCTCAACATACTAACATGCAGAATTGTCATATTGTGAGTTGACAAGATCAGCGTCCGGACAACGTTTATAGGGCAGTTTCTTGGTAAAAGAGTCGGGGGACTGTCGCGGCGGTGCGTGTACCGTAGTACTTAGTAGTTGAGATACGTGAGTGCTTGGGGGAGAAGAGGATGGGATACTAGCTCGTTCCAATGACGGGCCTTTTAGTACGACATATCTTGTTTGATGCCCATCGTGGGGACATCATCGGCTTGCGGTGGACCCGTTCGTTTTCCAGTAATCACTGTGTACACATGCTGAGCGCTGAGCGCTGATGATGGAGTCTGTCATACTCACGGGCGGGATAGAGCATCCGTGCCAAATCCATGCTATGGCTATAGCCGTTAGAAGCTCGCGGGATATAGTAGCAGCCGGGTCTTGTACTTTTGTCGTCGTTCGGTTAGGCCTAGGCTTCTATGGTGGTAAGGACTGAGTACTGGATGGTTACACCCGGGGGAGCGCCGCCCGTCCCACCGTTGTGGCATTAAACCTCGCAGCGCTATACGTTTTCGCATGTTTTGCTCCTGGATCTCTGTCACAAGCATGTTGAGTAAGTTGACATATGTCTCATTTCTCACCTCATTACGGTACCGTTCTATACTTCGATGGTGGCAGGAAAGCTGTTCCCACCCAGCCCTCTGAAGGGCATGGCGGTCCGGTCCCGGGCAGTTCTGCGAGCGCACTCTCAAGGCACGTGGTCTTGAATTTCTCGAGCGCTTGTCCGCCTGGTACGCCGATCGCTCTTCCGCGAGCGTATTGACTTTTCCCTTCATTCCTTCTCTCACTCTCGCCAGTATGCCGTCTAAGCTCAAAGAGCGCAAGCAAACAGAAAAGCCGAAGTCTGCAAAGACTCAGAGCAAGGCTCCCGCGAAGCCCAGCAAGTTGCAGCAGCGAGCGGCAAAGTCCTCAGACGAATCCGAGGAGGTCGACGAGCTAGAGGGCGCAGAGGAGGTAGAAGGACAAGAAGATGGAAGTGAAGACGATGAGGAATTCAGCGGCGAGTCGGACGACGAAGATGACTCCGAGGAGGACGTGGACGAGGAGGGCATGGAGAAGCTCATGAACGCCTTGGGCGACGACGGCCTGGACGAGTTCGACGTGGAGCAGCTCCGCGCGCTCACCGGAGACGAGGATGAGGAGAGCGGGGAAGGAGAGGGGAGTGAGGACGAGGGTTCCGAAGAGGAAGGCTCGGATGTGGAAGAGCAAGAAGGCTCGGACGCGGAAGAAGACGATGAGGCGCAGTCTGAGAATGAGGATGCCATTCCTGTCGACGAGCTTTCCGACGAAGAAGAGCTGGACGAAGACGCGGAGACTCGCCAGAAGGTGGAAATTGATAACGGGGTACGGCCGCACGCTCGTTCATCTTTTCACGCATATTGACATTCGCTTAGATTGCCATGGAGCGCATCCGGAGTACCATTGCGCTCAGTCCTTCATTACCCTGGACGGAGACCCTCACAGTCACATACCCCGAGTCTATCAGCGTCGACGTTGACGACGATCTAAATCGCGAGCTCGCATTGTACGTCCGTTTCCTCGCGTCTTCACAAATTCTACTCACGCGTCTTCCTCAGCTACAAGCAAGCACTGCACGGCGCACAGACGGCGCGCACTCTTGCACAAAAACATAGCTTCCCCTTCACCCGCCCAACAGACTACTTCGCGGAAATGGTCAAGAACGACGCGCACATGGAGCGCATCCGGCAACGGCTGCTCGACGAGGGCGCGGGCATCAAGCGCTCCGAGGAGAAGCGCAAAGAGCGCGAGGGGAAGAAGTTCGGCAAGCAAGTCCAGATGGACAAGATCAAGGAGCGCCAGCAGAGCAAGAAGGAGATGGAGGAGCGTCTCAAGGGCCTCAAGCGGAGTAAGCTCCCCGCATCGCCCTCTCTGGGACATGATCTAACGAATTATTCGTGCAGAACGAAAAGGGGCGCTGGACGGCGCCAAGGAGGGCGACGGCGAAGACTTCGACGTCGCGGTCGAGGACGCGCTTGCCGACCGGCCGTCAAAACGCGCAAAGGGCGCGAACGACAAGCCCAGGCTCCCGCGCCAGGCGCGCGACCAAAAGTTCGGCTTCGGAGGCTCAGGCAAGCGGTCGAAGCAAAATACGAAGGAGTCCACGGACAGCTTCGTCGAGCGCGGTGGTTCGGGCGGCCGTGGTGGGAGGGGCGGCGCTAGGGGCGGTCGCGGGGGTCGTGGTGGCGGCCGTGGCGGTGGAGGTGGACGGGGCGGTAGGGGAGGCGGTGCGAGCGGCCGGGGCGCGAAGGGTCCTTCGAAGCGACCGGGCAAGGGTAGACGGGAAACCCAGCGGAGCAAGTCATAGTGATGGCTACCGTCTTCGCCTCTACTTCTGGGCTGCTTGCGACCTTACCCTTCTCGCATATTTGCGGTCCCCACAGGAAGAGTAGCCATCTCAAGCGTGGGCTGACATCATTACTGAGAACGATTACTATTGTATAGCTTCCCATGTTTTTGACATGCAAGATTCCGACTGCCGACTGAATCATCTCATCCCTTGAACGACGTGTCATTCCCTCCGCCGGTACTTGAGCCCTAGAAAGGAGCCAGTTAAGCACTTCTTCGCCTCGCTAATGCATGTGATCGTAGCGACATACCACTTTCGATGACCCCATGCTGCCCTGTTCGTACACGGATGACCATGCGTGCGCGAATTGTAGTGTCTGACAACGCGCCATCGTCAGTCTCTGCCATTGGCGAGGCCAGAATAGAGACATACTGCGTTCTGATGGTCACCGCTCCGTTTATTCTGACTGACGGTAGGCAAGCTGAGCTCCGTGCCATCGGCGTCGCTCTTCATCATCATGTCCCGCAGATGAGTGCGACTGTTAAGCCTGTTATCACGCGGTTAAGCTGAACCATACAGTGCAGAGTTCAGGGATGCACCTACGTTGCAAGCATCGAATTGCTATATACTGTACAGGGTTGAGTATGAGATTCGCCGTATAACGGCATTATTCGAATACAAATGAGGCGTACCTTTGCTCAACGCATTGTGGAACGCGAGCCAAACGAGAGTGTGTGGCCAAATGAATTTCTGCAAGTTCGCTCAGCGACATCTTCTCCCCACTCTGCGCTGGGTACTCACGGTGAGGAGAGTCAACACCTGCAATGCGCTACGACGATCACAATCGGCTCCTTTAGCACGCCGTGTGGTTTGATGTTGAACTACCTACGCTGCAATGGCGCCCCTGTGAACGCTGAAGAGAATGATTCTGTTGAGCATGCGATGGGTCCTGCGCATCGCGAAGACGTTAGCATAGTCCCTTCGGGGTGCGCTCCAAGGCAGACGCACCGACGCCGGATATATGTCTTCTCGCTTGCGAGGTACCAACACAAGACGGCTGTGATCGATATGTCGACCACCATACCGAAGACCCAGTTGGCGATACGGGCATTCTGCGATGTTGTTTCGTCAGCTCGCTCACCCATACAGGCGTGGAGACAAGGAATATGGCACACGCACGAGGACTTGTGGGGTCTGGACGTCATTCCAGGCAGTGTGCTTGAATCTGCGTCGTAGCGGGGTGAGATAGATACGGTAGGACTGCTGATGGGTCTTTCAAAACATACTCTCGAGCGACGATTGCTAGTCCGAGAGTAACTGCATCAGTCATCTGCACGCTATTCTGAAACGCGAGTGCTTACCAACTATAAGACCTGCAAGTATACAAGACGTCTATATCGCTAGCCGTGCCTTGAGAGAAGGCCACTCACCAAAAGATACGAAGGCAAGGATACCCTAGTATACTCCAAACATTTAGCTTTCCCACTCAACTGCCGTACTGGTGCATACTACCAGGCTGACGTACCATTAGCAGGGGAATATACCATGCTTTGGGGCGAACTGGATGCACGCTCGTCAGGGACATGAGGCGGCGCATGCGTACGTACTCACGTTGGTATATCCGCATTACGAAGAAGCTATTGAGAATCAGCAAGTCGGCTTAGACGCATGTACCGGGCTACCCACATCTGCACCATCAACACGACTATGTACTACGAGGATACCGTGTAAGCACCTTATACTAGGAACTCATAGAAGGTAGAACTGAAGCTCACGGTGAAGAGAAGTTCGACCTGCCCGAAGTTCAGAATATTAATTAGAAGCGACCCAGAGTCTCCCGACATACCTGTCCGCTCCTGACAACATTTCAAGTTGTCAGTATTCATTGATGTCCGATGAACGGGGGCAGACGTACCAGACTTGCGACAACAGCGCAGTAGGGTTATTGTAGTTGTCGATCAGGTAGTAATAGACCATATGTGCGTCCAGCACTATCGTAACGGTGTCTAGAACCCTACGCGAGAATAAATATAGGTCGCTGAGAGAACGTATGGATGGCGGTTGCCCGCACCATATGATAGCGACCTATGGAGAGCGCATTTCAACAAATTGCCTAAGAGTAATGGAGAATGCTATACAAACCGCTGTTTTCAGTCTCCACGGGTCCTTCGGGAACCTCTCATAGTAGTAGAGCGTTTGCAGCACAGTGATGCCATATAACCTAGCGAGAATGCCATAGTCCCTTAGTAGTGATTCACAATTGGAAAGATAAAGAGGACAACAAACGTACGCTGAAACTATGATAGTCGAGAGGAGCAGTACACCGAAGGAGTCCGGAAGGGCCATGCCAGTGGGAGGGGCTCCAGCGAACGAGACCGGGTCTGCCATAGTGCAAGTCAGTGCGGCAAAGGGAGCCAGCTTACTCGGGCGGCTTCAGGTATATCTACTAGTATTCCGGCTTCCGAACCATCATTCGAAGTTTGACGGAGCTGACTCGCAACCCTGAGAAACATTGAGCAAGCCGGGAGTTAACGCAACGCGGTCGTTTGCGCAGCTTCGTGAGAGAGTGCTTGCCCACTCTCCGACATATAGTACCATGTACTGGTGGTACACCGTAAACGATGTTATTCAAGGCACGACCTTTGAGTGGGTCGAGTTTCGTATGATGACTTCATGTCCGTTGGCCTTGCAGTCAAAGAGGCAAGTATATGCGGGGTGCGAAGTCCGCTACTGCGCACCAGATCTGGCGCGCCTCGAACATCTACATCAGTCAGAGCCGAGATATACTTATCACGACAGTGATAGTCGAACATATGAGCATGGGGTACGCCCCTCTGGCCTCTTCCGAGTCGTCACTGTACACATACGTCGATCGGCAGAAAGAGTGCTTATACTTCAGCAAATACATCGGGTCGCGCGTCGTGGACCACACCCTGATGATAAAAAGAGAAAGTGAGTTGAGTCCGCATCTCCGTATCGCCCGAACGTCGCAACGCACCAGCTTCTCCCCTGGCTCGAACGTCGGGCTGTCCGGGTCACCCGCGGCTTCCTTCATCGCGTAGCGATATCTCTCAGCGTCCGCAGTCTCTGTGCTGTCACTGGCAGTGTTCCACTCCAGCGTGGACGTCTGTGCGCGCGCAAACTCCAGCGTCTGGGGGCAACGTGCCATCCGCATAATCAGCACCTGTCATGAACGCGAACTGAGGTCGGAGGACGTACTGCGACCTGAGCATCATGTGGGCCCCCAGGCTTGCCACCCGGGGCATTGCGCCTGATCGTTGGAAGTGTCAATTCGGTACCGCCTGCATCACTGTCCATCATGCCGCGGAGAGCGGTGCGGCTGTTGAGCCTGTAGGTTATGCGGATCAGTGGCGGCGCAACTTCGAAGAAGGGAGGAAGTGCGCACGTTGCGAGCATCGAATTTGCGTACACTGTGCCGCAATTGACGAAACGCATGATCAGTGCCTTGGGCGATGAGAGATCATGAGTAATGAAACGCGCACCTTTGGAGAGCACATTGTGGAAAGCCAGCCAGACTAAGTTTTCCGGGGAATAGATGAACTTCTGCAGCGACGCTGAGCGACGTCCCGCGTGCATGTGACGGTGAAGTCTACTTACGGTCAAGAGCGTCATAATCTGTACCACGCTGGAAGAAGCGGCTCAGCATAAGTTGCGCGATATGGAAGCCGACGACCTACGCTGCGATGGCACCCCTGTTCACGCTGAAGACAATGATCTTGTTGATCAGGCGGTGTGTCCTTGATCCCAAAAACGCGCGTCAGTCTCTCTCTCCCGGCTCTGGAGGTGTGCCTTGAACGTACTTGCGCCGTACGTAGACCTTCTCGCTGGAGAGGTACCAGCACAGAACGGTGGTGATGGCTATGTCGACGATCATACCGAGGACCCAGTTGGCTACGAGCGGATCCTATGCATGTGGCTTGCACCCGCTTAATCTGAAAGACAAGGAAAACACGTACGTTGACTTGCGAGGTCTGCAGATTACCCCAGTTGGCCTTCTGGAACCTACAGGAAGAGCGGTTGGGGTCAGATGCAATCCGAATGATCTCCGTGACTGGCTTACACTGCGACCACGATCGCTGTGAGACGAGCGATGGCGTGTCAGGGCTTCAATATACTGCGAGAAGACTATGCCGCATACCTATGACCAAGGCTAGAACGTGCGATGCGTTAATTTCATGCACTTTGTAATAGAGCACGATGAGAAACTGACCATAGGATGCGAGCGCGAGGACGCCCTGTTCTCGAGGTTTAGCTATAGAAGACATTACGAATGGCCTCACTTACCATCGGCAAGGGAATGTACCAGGCATATGGTCGAACTGGCGATGCTCTACGTCAAGGACGCTTACCTTATAGACGGGTACGGATACTTACGTTGGTAGATGCGTACGATGAAGAAACTGTCCATGTCGGTAATCAATAACAGACGGAGAGAAAGATGTCAAGAACTCACGCCTGAACCATCACTACTACTGTGTACTGTCAAACACATGACAGCGTGAGTGATCGATGTGTGCCACTATGCCACTGAAGCACTCACGGTAACGATCACTTCCACCTATCCCAGCTTCAGAATGATGCCAGGGTTACGATAGTATTGCAACATACCTGTGCACTCCTGAACTCGATGGTGAGAAATTACTTCTCTTTATATTACGAAGGGAGCGACGCACCATACTTGAACTGCCAGAGCAGGAGGGTTGTTGTAGTTGGCGATAAGGTAGAAATACACGGCGTGAGTGTCGAGGACTATCGTGACGGTGTCTAGCACCCTGCGCGATAGATGAGCGACGTCCGAATACGGTCCGAGTACGTCCTGGCGTACCATATGATAGCAACCTAGGTGTGCAAAAATTGAGTAGCCGCTACTGAACGGTGAAAAAACAGACGAACCGCAGATTTCAGCAACCAGTGGTCCTTAGGAAACCTGTCGTAGTAGTACAATGTCTGGAGTACAGTAACGCCATATAACCTAGATGGAGGACGGGTGTTAGTATCGCAAGCGAGGAAAGGGCCGCAAGCGTAAATCGCTTACGCGGAGACTATGATGGTCGAGATGAGCATCACACCGTACGAGTCGCCGAGCTGCAGGGCGGCCTGGGGAGCATCAGCGAACGGGGGAGGACCTGCCATGGTTCCGGTGAGTGCAGCAGTAAGCAGGAACTCGAGGAGGAGGCGGACATAAGTACGATTGAAACGTGTGCTTCTATAATCAAGAATCCGACCGCGCTTAAGGGGAAACCGGTCCACGTTACTTGGGAAGGACGCCGAGTTGCGGAGATCTGCACATTGCAACCGTCTGCGCACTAGGTTATGTCACAGGTTGACGGATGCTTTTGGAGAGCACCATTTACGGACAAGATCTCCCACCGTGTAGACCTGTGGGGATAAGGCTTCCGGTGTATTCTTACCTTGTAGCTAGCCTGCAGAGCCCGCAGCTGAACCCTGGTATCGCTGCCTCAAAGGACAGGACTGTCTCCAATTCGACACGAAACCTGTGGCTGACTGTTCACTGAGATCTGTCAACGCTGGGCGTGTCTAAGCGGGCTCGGAGCGCTCTGATAGGTTTTCAGGCGGATTCCAACCAGAGTAGCGGATGGTTCAACGCGTTCGCGAGCCGCACTGCCAAATGTGCCTAGCAAGGCGAATCACATCAGTACATGCTTGTCAGAAAGTTGATGAATAGATGGAACTGGAGGACGCGACGACCAGCCCACCAGTAGCCAAGTGCTGCCATGCGAACGATGTGTGCACGTTCTCAGGAGAGCGATATTTGCATGATTGCATGCCGTGATTCTACCCATCAAGGACTCCTGGATGCCGTGTCCTATATGCTGCTCAGCCACGGATTGGCTCGACATAGCATCCGTAGCATCGCCGCATCCGGTCGCTTAAGATCATCCAAGCTAGAACTCAAAATTGAAGAAGATGCCGCAGACCCGGAGCGCCAGAGAATAGCATGAGAATGTGGTGGTGCAGAAGAAAGAGACAAATATTGATATTCTGGACTTCAAAGCTTCACCAGTGACCACCTTCCCAAAAGCGTCCACATGTCAAGCGGATATTCCCACGCGCTCCCGCCTTCGGCGACGTTCTGGCTCGCTTGCTCGTCGTTGCATTTTGTCCACTGATCACAACCTCGGCAGTCTCTGACGTCCACACCTGCGCCTCTGTCGTCTTCAATAGCCCACAACGCCGTTCACATCGTCCCCCTTGCTCGTCATGTCTGCTGTCCCGACACCATCGTCATCTAGCGGGTACGCTTCTCCCGCACCTTCGTCCAACAGCCCTGCCCCGCCGAAACCTAACGCGCCTCCCAAACCCAAACCGCTCAATGTGTTCTCTAACGACGGTTCATTCCTAGAGCGCTTTCAGCGTTTGAAGAAGGTACGGACGACTCGAGAGGGATGCTAACAGTCGTTGAATATTACGGCCCATCTTGTAGGAGGAGGATGAGAAGAAGAAGCAGGAAGATACTCTGCGACAGTGCGTCACGATCAAATCTACTCACCGTATTGTGCTCACAGAGACGGTTCCCTCAAGGAAACGGGAGTTTGACAGTCGTTTCGTGAGTCCCGTCCTCTGGTTAGTAGTCTCGCACCACCTGGGCTCACGTACATTTATCGCAGAAAAAGCGGGGCAAGCGTCCTTCTCCTGACGCGTCGAGCTCAAATGATACCACAGAGAATCCCGCCAAGAAGGCTAAAGTTGACGAGCCACTCAGTAAGTGCTACGCGTTCATACAACCTCTGGATTTGCGGTGCTAAATCTTCAGCAGACCAGTACCAGAAAGAACTTCAGAACTACGCAGACAAGAGTCTGAAGGAGCATGGTACTGGTGTGAGGCCGCTCGTCAAATGAATAGCTCTCTTGTGTCTTGACCCACTGTATGTGCGTGATTTCTGTTCGTACCTCTCTGCCTTGCTAGCGAACACTGGTGCTAACGTCTCAGACACTCAGTTTTATCGTTACTTTGTCATACTCGTCTTTGATGTTATCTCGCTACCGCTACAACACGTCCGGATCCACAATACATAGTGCTAAGTAATACAGTAAGGGGTATACCGTCTCAATCGCCCACACTCACACCCGTTTGATGAAGGCTACGCTACCGCCTCCTCCTCTTGACTATCGAGGCATCGCAAGCGAGGGATGACGAGACCCGGACGCAGCCCGCGTGCGAGGCCTTGCTTAAACTCCTCCACTTGACGCTGCACCCGCGCCAAGTGCTCGTCACCCATGACTTCATCTTGCGAAGGCAGTCGCGACGGCGCAGTCCACGCCCGTTCCTGCCTCTTCGGCCTCGGCTTGCTCACATGTACGCCAACATCGCTCATACTCGCCGCTGCGCTGCTGCTGTCGACGTTCTCCAGCCCATCCTTCGCGCTCGCACGCTGTGCCCGTTGTTGGTCGCGCTTGAGCTTCTCCCAGAAGGCCGGGTCGACGCGGTGCGGCACAGCCTGGGCGAGCTTCTCGGCGATGCGCAGGCGCTCCGCGCGCAGTTCCTCTTTGCTCTTCCGCGTCGCCCCACCCCCGACCGTAGTTGTTGCAGACACCTCCTTCTTGACCACTGGACGAGCGGGTGCAGAGGCGGCCGCCGAGGCCGCGTCGAAGTCACTCGCGTGCGCGGGGGTGGGGAAAGCCCCCAGCCTCCGACGACGATCGGATCGAGGAGACGTCGCTAGTGTGGGACGCTCGAAGCTCAGAACTCTCTCGGCCTGCATCGGTGCTGCGACGGACACAGCAGCCGTAGCGCCGTCTTCCGTTCGCCGCCTTTTGGGGACGGGGGCCGCTTCTTGGTCGTCGCGCGCCCGCGGACTGCGCCTCTTGCTGCTGCTGTGGAGGTTCCGGAGGTCGATGAGGGGCACCGCAGCGTCGTCCGTGCTACCGTCACGTCTTCGGCGTGCCTGGTCTATTTTATGACGCGGGGTCGCTGCGAATGCGGGTGCGAGTTGGGGCGCGGGGGGGCTTCGCGGGCGTTGCGCACGGTCTGCGACGGTGGGGGAGCTGTCGACATGGCGCCGCCTCCGGGTTTCGGGGGTGGGCATCTGCGGCATCTTGTCCTTCCGTCGAATCGTCATCGGCTCGAGCGGCGACCGGAGCAGCCTTGCGTTTTGGGGCGTGCTCGACGAGCTGTCCTCCTCGCATGGTTCCTCGTGGGCTGTGATGTTGCGGTGTTTAGGGGTGGATGGGTCGTACGAGATAGACAGTGGCGATGAAGACTGTAGCCAGTGCGAGAGGTCCTGTGACCCGCGACTCGACTTTGGCGTGAGTGGCATGTGGCTAGGAAGGCGAACAGGTTGCTCGTCGGGTCGACGCGACGGCCCCGCGATTGGTTCCTCCATAGTCTCGGGAAGCGGGGACGAACTTCTGTCGGGATTGACATGAGCTGGGATGTCTGCGTCTCCTCCCCAGAGCAAGTGCGCCGTAAGCGCGTGAGCGTCTTCATCCCCGTCGTCATCTGTGTCAGAGTCCAGGACAGGCGATTGCAGCCGCTTTGGAACCACGAAGCGTGCCATCGCCGCCTTCGTCTCGGCGGCGCTCGCACGGCCCTGGAAGGTGGGCACTGATGGCGCCGGGATGGGTACAATGTCGGAAAAGGTAGGTGCAGGTTGAAGAGCTTCGCGGCGGAACGTCGTGGGGCGGATCTCCCTGGCCGTACGAGAGGCTGGACGGCGGTACGTCCCGTCGAGAATTTGGTCAACGACCCGCCGGTAGTGCGGCGGCAGGAACTCCTGCATGACGAGGAGTTTCTTGCGCATGCGGCCGCTGTCGGCCCATTTCTCTGCGAGCTCACGGGCACCTTCGCCTTCCAGGTTCTTGAATGCGACGTCCTCATTGGCATCGGCCTCCTGTATTAGGGAAGACTCGATCTCGTCTAGGGCCACCGTCGGGCGATCGACCGCATGCGACGTACAAAACGCATCGAGGGAACGCCCACTGGTAGGTGAGCTCGTCTCTTCAGCTAGACAACCTGCGAACATCGCCTTCAAGCACGCCGCGTCGAGGCCCTTCAGAGCGGGATCTAGGGTGTTAGGCTCGACGCGGCGCGGCTTGAAGAGCGAGACGAACGCTCGCAATTCAGGGAGAGGAGAATGGCGCGCGATGGGGACCAACTATATGCGCTTCGGTCAGCCTTCACGGACCACCCGGTACAGATATGCAGCACGTACCAGGACGTTCACCCGTTCGCCCCTCGCTAGCTGTGATCTGGTCTGCTTGTGATACTGGTCCCACCCGGCCGTGCTCATGTTGACGGGGTTGACGTAGACAACATGGTGTCCGCTCGGCGTGTGGGACTCTCGGCCGTTCACCCGTACGTGTTCGCAGCGGTCGAATCGCTCGCATGCGTGAAAGCGCGTCGACGACCCGTCCTTGGTGATGATGGACGTCAGGAACGGATCGCCGGTCGTATGCGAGTATAAACCATGCTTGTAGCGGTCAACGTGAATCTGCACCGAGTAGGGATTACTGTCATTAAGCGAAACATTGCTTGAGAGGAAGATGTGGCTCGTACCTGGGCACCGAACGCGCGCGCGACCGCTTTGTATATATCCTCGTACCCCAGCGTCCACGCGTTAATGAAAAACCGTGTTGTCTCGGGGTATAGTGCCATGAGTTCGGTTAGACCACCCGCTGCGTCTGCCTATATGCGCGAGAGGTGAGAAGGGGGATGACTACACGATCCGGGACACGGCGTACCTTGTTTGGTACATCGTATGTATTCAGTAGGCATGCGGTGTCGAGGTAGATAGCCTCTAGCTTCGGCAGTACTGTTGAGCGGGATGAATTCCTGTGATTCGATAATGGCGAGGCGCTTGAGGTGTCCAGATATCGTTGGATGTATGGATTGTGGCGAAGAGAATTCAGGAACCAGGGTTCCGCCCTCAGGTCGCCTGTATGTAACACTGCACCCTTGTCGCCTTCTACGAGGAACCTGGCACATAGCATGAGCCTACGCCTTCGCTCTCTGCATAGGGGGACGTACATGACCGCTCCTAGACAGTGGTTGGCATCTAACAGCGTGATTGTAACTGCTTGACCATCGTTGAGACGAAACTCCTCTGGGGCGTGTAGTGGAGTGGCACGCTATATGAACGGACGGTGAGTTCGCCTTGGCCATATTTTCAGTTGCGGACAGGGACTCACCAGTAGGTCTCGCGAACCCGCACGATTCAGGCTTCCGTCCTCCATCCGCTGGGGGTCTATTTTCAAGTGAGCATAAGACCTCACATTCTGCGCCCGAAGGTCCATGTCGCGCAGAGCGCGCTCGGCGTAGACCTCGTGCCGAAGCAACATTTCTTTGGCGTCGTGCGAGCATACCACCGTCTGCCCGAACGAGCGCGCTGCTAGCCCGTTTAGATGATCCGTGTGGGTGTGCGTAAGGAGGTACAAGCCGACAGCAGGGGTTTGGCTCTCATTCGTGGAGGAGGAGGATGGTGTAGAAAAGTCGTCGACGCGGATAGGATACGGGGGGATGAAGGCGTTATATGGTGTCCCTGTGGGCATGACGGAGGTGGCGCAGCTCTGAAAAGCGTTTGTACGGTGAGTGTCGGCGAGGTCAAAGGTTGAATGTTGAAGATGGGGAGCGGTTGCGCAGGGGGATTGTGTAGGCGGAGAAAATGGTCTTGCACAAGGTGGTGAAGTGGTGAAGTTGAGGCACGCTCTCAGATCGCTGCATATATGCGTCGCAGGTTAGCCACACAAGTCGAGGCGCTATTCATGCAGTCTGGCGAGGATGGTGGGGGGAGGGACAATGGTTGCAGGTCTCTCGCTGGGCTTGCTACTGGCTTGAAGCTTGGTCCCGGAAGAACGGTATGTCCCGCTGTGTCTTGAATGTGGCGTCACCGGGATATTGATGCCCTCTTGAGTCTTCCAGCTTCACGGCCGCAAACAACTCATCAATTAAAACAGGGATGGGCTACACGCTTGGAAACGCCCTCTAGCTGGCGGGAATGCGCTGCGGGGAGATGGTGGGAGGTGGGAAGAGAGCGGAGGCGATGGTCCCAGCCACAAGGCACCCGCGCCGGCGCCGGCGCCTGTGAGCGTGAGATGACGGCAGCACGCCAGCGTCACACATCAGGTGGTAGCCGACCAATCAGAAGACGCGCTGTGACTCGTCGTGTTCAATCGGGCAAACAGGATCAAGGCCCGGGCGAGTTGTTCCTTCGTCGCGCGCTCTCAAGCTTCTCAGACCTCCCTCGCTGAGCAGGTACCGTTTGTAGGTACATAATATTCGGCAAAATACCGCATGAACACTTGTCGAGCAGTAGCCAAGGATCAAATATTGAAGAGTTATATAGAGCATAGGATTAGGCATTGTACCCTCGCGGGAGCGTGCTAGTGATGACCGGTGACCAGTCTGCGTGCCACCGGCGGCGTAAAGCCTCGGGTCATCAGGGAGCCGCACTGCACTGCGCGAACTCCTTCAACGAGGCTGATGGGACACTGATTTTATATCGGCATCAGTAGGTGAAGACGGCGGCGTTTAGGAAGTTTGAACCATACGAACTGACTGAGACACGGCAGAACTTCCTCGAGGTGCACCGGACTGCCCTAGCTCAAGCACGGTAGTTGAGCGTGACGTGGCAGCTCGAGCAGCCGGCGTTGTTGGTCCCGTAGCTCCCGCAGGTGTTGCTGCAGTGGCCCAGGATCGTGTTCGCAGTGTCGATAATGACCTGTCCGGACACGGGCTGCTGCCCCGCGCCGTTAGTCGCGTAGATCACTAACGCACACATAGTATCAGCGGCGTGCTCGGAAGGGGGCAGTCGGGTCAACGTACTGTAGCAGCTACCGGTGGAGAACTGAGCCTGGTCGGTGTACGTGGCGCCGGCGTTGACGGTCGCGATCGCCTTCTGACAGTCGCCGCGGATGTTGACGTCGCCGCAGAGCCCGCTGCCCTTGCAGTTGTTACCGTAGAGAGCGGCGCGATCGAAGTTGGTGGAGTTCGAAGAAGGCATAGCGAGGGCGGGGGCGGCCGCGGCGACGAAAGCGGTGAGGACAGCGAAGAAGTGCATGTTTACTGAGTAGACTGGGCGTGAATATGCAAGGGGGGTAGCTGATGAACTGACCTTTTGCGGCGTCGACCTCCAGCTTTTATACATGGCTTGGACGCCTTTTCTGAAGAGAGGTTTGCCAAACGCGAGCTTCCTCGGTTCGAGGATGACCTGCTGAGACTGCTGCCAGCTTGTGACCGAGTGGGACCGTCGTCGCTTCACCGACCAGTGCAAGACGCCTAATGTGGATCAGCTATTGCATATTCGGAGCTCTGAGCTGTGTTCAGCGAGGGCGCGAGCGAACAGGGTGGTGGTCAGGTTGGGTTGAAGTTCAAAGTACTGTCGTCGATATGGTCAGCATTGGTAAATTCAGCATATGGAACTACACTCACGCATAGGGTCCATTGTGTTTGCACTCGCCTCTCCATAGAATCTGATGTAGGAGACGTCCTCGCTTCACCTGAAAAGTATCAGCGAGAAGAACATGCTCGTAATGCCCGCCGGCCTCGTCGCGTAAATGGCGCACGCATGCGGCGGATCATCGTGAAGAAGCTCCGACTCCACACGGAAGTAGATCTACTAGTCGCCAATCCTGAAATATGCGTCAACTTTCCCCGCGAGAGAACAGGTGGCACGGACGCCAGGCCACTCGGGGTATGTTACCGAATTAGTCGACGAAGTCGATGGGCGCATCAACCGAGTATGGAGCATCTCCGGAGAGAGATACATACTCCAATGCTAGGAAGGCAATGCCGCCTCTCGTATGAGCGAAGCGAGCTGGAGAAGCCATTATTTCAAAGGTCGTACGTCCACGCTTGCGCCGCACGGGGTCGCCGATGATCAGCTGCGCCTATGCGTGACCGGACAGGAAGCTAAACTGACCCAACTGACCCCAACGGTGTGGTTCTTGGCGTAAAATGTGGTGCTCCGCGCAGCATTGGGATATGGAGGTACCAAGCTCGTGAGCGCAAGCGTTACGCACAACAAGCAGAGTCTCCTAAGAAGCTCCAGGTTGAATGAGGGTTTGAAGTGCGGTGAGTAGGAACTCACAATTATTATATACATTCTTGAAGCGGCGTCATGACGAGGGCATCATCTGTATATGACCGTCAAGCACTCCGAAAGGCACTCCCCGATCGTCTTTGAAGCGCAACACGTCCACCATGCTCGGTATCGCATTAGCGATGTGCTCGAAGCACTCGTCTCCGGGCCCGTCACGTAACAGCTCCACCTCCATCCGCTCTAGCTTGGGATAGAGCGAACGCGGCTCAGGCAGGTCCGCGCGTTCCTCCTCGCCGAAAAGGGCTTTGCAGCCCCAGTGGGCAAGGTCTCCGTCCCAGGCATATGTGATGCGGAACGTGAGCCTGCGGAGGGTGGCGGTCGGATACGGCACCTGGCGATGTCGGGTGGCAAGCGCAAGGAAATACGGTGGATTCGGGAGGGTGCGGCCAGTGCGCCGCATATACGCATGCCACGTCGTGTTCAGGATGACGATAGTCACATCTTGTAGCGCGGGAAAGCAGTACCATAGGAAGCTAGGGGTAGAGTCTACATATCGACAAAAGCATCAGTCATGACAGATGAATACGAGAATCCTGTCGCTTACATGCGTCTGCAAGCTCGCGGCATGCAATTTGCAGCGTTGTCACCGTTGATCCAAACAGTCGCCCTGGGATGAACCGCCTTGTGGAAAGAGGATATCCCTGTTGGACGTACGATCAGGTTCGTAACACTGCTCGCAAGAGGTACGAGAACTATTCAACGTATACACCACTCACGTAGAGACGTAGATGGGTGAGTTTTGTGAATATTTCCGCCTTATGCTCGCGAGCGAAGGCATGCATCTGCCTGATAGATGGCACGTCGACGGGGCCGGTCTGTACGTCGCAATCTTGCACGATCAGACGGGAAAGCTCCGGGCATGACCATACGAGATCGAAGAAGTCGCAAACGGAGTCAAAGGTGCAACGATCAAGGGAGAGCTCCGTGAGGGCGGCGAAGAACGGTGTCCGCATGCGGTGGAAGATCGGCGGATACGCGGAGAACTGCATAGATCTGGCAGTGAACAAGCGCAGGTCTGGGAATGGTGTGTTGAACAGATCGTGGATTCCCACTGGGAGTTCTGTGTAGAGCAGATGTACCGACGAGAGACTGGTTGAGAATCGCGAGGAGGTGTCTGAGAGTATGGTTGCGACGAACGCTGCAAACGAATCGTCGTTTGCCAGAATAGCATGCTGCCATAACAGGAACTCGGCGCGTTTTCTCCATGTTCGACACGTCAGCGCGCATGCGCGGAGAGTACGCTGGCGAAGTCGAAACTGATAGTAGAACGAAGGTCGTGCTAGAGGGGCGCTGTGGGCGAAATTCGGAGGGTCTGACTCGCACAGAGCGTCAAGTACAGCCTCCCAGATTTCTGTAGGAACTGGAGGAGTTGGCGGCATATATGTTTCTCCCAACCCGCGCAAACTCAGGGTCGGTCACAATGCTTGTTATACACTGTACTAAAAATCAGACGGTCAGCAAACATATGTTTCGTTAAAGCTTCATCTCGCGAAAATACGGGTGTGTATTACTGACCTTGCCAAAGTATACTCACCTGTTCGCCAAGGTTTGCAAGATCTAGATCAATTGGGACAACTCGGATTGCGCGCCTGAGATGTCAACTGGGAATTGTGACTATCCCGTCGGGAGTCGTCGTACAGTGAGAGGAGGTAGGGTTAGTGGACGGGTGGCGTTGCCCCGAACTTGCTGTGATCAAGCTACACTCCCACGGGCCACGAGGCACACACCTGGGGTCACGGTGTGCGAGCGCCCGTGAAGCTTGAACTTGAAGTTCTTGCAAGACCCCTTCAGCTCCAAACGGTTGTCCTCATACAACGTCGGCGTCGCCATACACCAACTCACAAAGTGCAATCAAGATTAATTACTCTTGCGCGGTCTGGTAGATACAATATATGCTAGCATATGTTTCCTCCGAGACTCATAGCACTTACATGTATGAGCTCGTCGATCTCATCAGCCACCAAGACGGCACTCGGAGCGAAGGCACAACGTACAGGTCATGGAACTTCAGGAAACAAAGCTATATAAGTACTCAGAAATGAAAATAAGGATGTACATAAATTTACGAGTACTCCAAGTTGTATGTGGTCTCGATGAGAAAGCGACTCGAGCCTCCTTGAACTCTCCGTCTCGAATCGAGCTCTCTTCGAGAATGGCGGCGGGGCCTCGTCCAACATCTTGTGCTTATGGCTGGCCCACGAAGTTGACGTCCCGGTCGGCACGGATCTCTTGCAGGTTCTCCGGAATCACTTCAGAGATCTCCTGTGGAAAGTCGTCGACCGGGCGGCCGGTGCAGAAGTACGTCTTTTTGTTTGAGGGAGAGGCGAAGTGGGCGTTCACATGGCGTCGCATGTCGACCGTCCAATCCGCCATCGGCTGTACGAAGTTGCAGTGGTGCTTCCCCACAGGAGATACAAGGACGAGCTCGCTGACGGCGTTGAGGGCGGCCTGGGAGGTTGGCGAGTGCGGGATGATGCCCGTGAGATGGTCTTCTCGGCGGGGTTGTTCTCTTTTGCCGTAGACCTGCGAGTGTTACGGATGGGGCCAGAAGCACTCAGTGCGTAGTGGGTGTCGTAGACGATAATCCGGGCAGCGCAGTGGGTGCAATGCACGAGGCCACAGGAAGAAAGCTCAGACCAGAGCAGTAGTGGGCGCCGGATAAAGTCGGTATATTGTGTAGGAAGTCGAGGGAAATTTAAAGAGATGGACGGGAGAGGGCTAGGACTTAAAGGAGTAGATGAGCGTGGAAGAATGTGCGGCAAAGAGCAGGGATGGGCCGTATGGAGAGACGCCCTCGAGGCCATGTATTGTGATGATGTTTTCGAAGAGAGAGCGGGGCCGAATTCAGGGCCACGCCGCGAGGCTGGGATGACGGCGAAACGATGGGGAGCGCTTTCTGGGCCAGGCTGTTCGTGGGGAGAGGGGGTGCCTGCAGAGAGTCCCCGAGTGGCACGGCTTCGGTGTGCGCGATTGAGTGTATTTGGTGTAATAAACCGGGCGGCAAATCGAGGTCTACGTTGTCGGGAAACGTGGATATTGGCTCCGGGTGGCTGAATGGGCATTAGACATGAACTATGCAAGTGGAAGCGTACATACCTAGGCTCTGTATCCAGCACCACCATCCCCATATGACGGTCATTTCAATCCGGTCGAGCCAATCGCGGAAATGGGCCCTGACGTGCCTGACAAATTTCTGGCTGCGACCGCTGTGCGAGTAAGGCGCAGTTCTCGCAGTCCATCGAGCCTGTTGTGGGATCTATGGTTGGGGCTTGGTGGAACCGGTCGTGTATCTGGACGAGCGGACCTTGAGAGAAGTCGCTGCGGAGAGAATCATCCGGTTGCGACGCTGGGAGTGGTGCGCGCAAGTGGGAAAAGATGGGCTCGGCCGGGTTGAGCCCCCAAGACGTCGACAGTGAGGTAGGAAGGACAGTTGGAGGAGGGGGGTCGAAGGTCGCCACCGCAGGACTCGAGTGCCGCCATAGATGAGATGCGTCCTCTACATCGTCCAAGGAGGAGAGAGTGGGGGGCGAGAACGTAGACGGCGCAGAAAACAGAACCATGCCCTAAGGGATGGGCACGGAGAGTCAAAGGCGCAGAGCGCATCCTCCAAAAACCTCCGCATCGTCGGTCAGGAAGGGGTCCAGCCCGGGTAGCACTTCCAGCTCTGGGAGAGGCGCGGGGGTCGCGGGGACGATAGCGTGAGCCCGACCGTGAGCGCAGCAGAAACGAAGACGGGGCTGAAGACGCCAAATCGTCAGCATTACTTGGTTGATAGCAAATGTACAACAAGAGAACGTACATGCTAGCGCTGCATATGGGGCCGGCAATCTGATAGAGTAGGATTATGTGGCGGAGATGAGCAGGCGGCGGCGGGCGCGGCCAATCCATGTTCTTGGGCTAGGATAAGTCGATGCTCGGGATGTGAGACGACAGAGAGTGTGTTGCTCGGGAGATGGGAAGAGGGTTCACGGTGTGGGGATGGGGGAATTTCTGAGGCCGTTCTGAGGGGGGTTATATACCTTTCGCGACAATGACGGTCCCCGCGCGTGCCAGGGAAAACAAGTCTGCTAGCACACGGAACTACGTTTCAGGGGCTCTATTGTGGAGGAAAAATACGATGCATGAGCGTCGTTTGCCATTTGCCGGACGCGTCATGGCGTGATACATAACTGCTTGCTCAAAGCAGAGCCCATCTAAGGTCTGAATGATGGACAATGATGCGGGCGTGGCCTCGCCGAGATAGAAGTCCCAACGATCGGCGACCAAAGGCTAGTCAAGCCATCAATGCAACGAGAGGCTCATACCAAGCTCACGCATTGGTGGCGCAATTTGTGTGCACAAGCATTTCCCTAGGGGGGAACGGGGCTCAGGGGTAATACATTAATATCCCGAGTCAAGCGCAGCGATGTAGTCTATAAGAGGAGTGTCGTGGTGAGCGAGGGTGAAGTTGTGTACAGAGGCATACACACGGGATACATCGAGGGCAAATGCAGTTCCGCACGAGCGACCTAACTCTGTTCCGGTCTGTGACATTGGCATTACTCGACGGACGTGCTCCGAGATGCCACATGGAGGATGAGTGGAGGTGGTGAGAGTAAATTGCTGGCGAAGCGTGGAGATCGCGACAGTTCCAGCGCTTATAAGGTCCTCCGAGATCTTCGGAGAGGCCACCGTGCCCATCGGACTACAGTGCAGGAACTTGAACACTGCTTACTCCGTCGTTACCGTGCTGCCGCCTGCTACAGTGCAACACGACCGAAACGTGGACGAGTCTCTCGCCAAATTGCAAGAGCATGGCTGCGACGTTGTTTGGCAACAGTCCCCAAAAGACCAGAAATCAATATCATTCGTAAGGTGCACTAGATATTTATAATTAGTACTTGACCAATATTGAACCCAGTTGCTATCGGACGAAGTGTTTCGGAGCTTTCAGGCAACTTGGAACCTGTGGCTGGTACATGATATATACAACACATAAAGTCCCCAAGTAAGATACCATGATAGAAAGCCCGTTGCAGAGTCTCGTCCGCTCACCGGTCCCCTATGACGATACCTTCCAACCATGGGACATTCGCATCGCCAAACCCAAAGCACGAATCATCCCCCGGGCGCGAGAGAGAATGTAGGTGCCTCGCCAGTGCGTCCCGGCGTGCAAACAGGCGGCCGCAGCCGCCCACCATGTCCATCCCGTGATACCGCCGCGCTGTCTTGCCTAGCTCGTTGTCGGGCTCTTCGAGCAGGGCCCGTACTGTATCCGCCTGGTGTCCCGGGATTGCGAGATGCTCTATAGGTACACCGAGGCACACCCATCCGGGCCTGGCTCTTGGGTGGAAGTGGGATGCGAGGTGCTTCCTGAAGTCCGTGTAGCGACCGATACGCACTCGGTGGCCGCAGTACTCGCATTCCATGTCACTAGCGCCTTCCACTGCAGGAAGTCGGTAAGGCCGGGTGGATATTTGTACGAATCGAGAGATATCCCGGCCACAGGAAGAAAGCTCAGACCGAAGCAGTAGTGGGCGCTGGATAAAGACGGTAAATTGTGTAGGAAGTCGAGTGAAATTTGAGGAGATGGACGGGAGAGGGATCGGACGTAAAGGAGTAGATGAGGCCGTGGAAGAATGTGCGGCAAAGAGCAGGGATGAACCGTATGGAGGGAAGCTCTCCGCGGAGGATCCGCGCTCGTCCTCGAGGCCATATACCGTGATGATGTTTTCGAAGAGCGGGGTCGAATTCAGGGCCACACCGCGAGATTGGGATGACAGCGGGACGATGGGGAGCGCATCCTGGGTTAGGCCGTTCCTAGGGAGAGGGCGTGCCTGCAGAGAGTCCCCGAGTGGCACCGGCGCCGCTTCAATGTGCGTGGACGAGTGAGGGTGAGAGAGACGAGGAGGTGAATCAAGGTATACGTTCTTGGGAAATGTGGATGTTGGCTGCTGGTGGCTGGATGGGCATTAGACATGAAATATGCGAGTAGAAGCGTACATACCTA